ACAACCTTTTTTCCCCCGTGCGCGTCCCGTCCCCCCTCTCAGAATTACGCCCTCTGGCGAGCCCCGAGCCCATGCTCTCGTCTCTCGCAAACGCCATAGCGAACCCGTGCCGATGTACCAGTTCGCGCAAGGGCAAGGCGAGCCCGTGCCGGTGTATCAATACTCGTCCGGCATGGCGGCCCAGCCGTACGCGAACCAGCACTGGGCAGAGGTTCTGCCCGGCACGGTTGCGCCGCAAGGAGCGCCGGCGGGCTACTTTTACGACGGCGCCCCATCGGCCGAGCCCCTCCGATACGATTCGGGCTATGGCATGCCATACTCACAGCCAGCACTGGACGAGCAGTGCGAGTCGGATTGCGCGGATGCACTCTCCAAGGCGACCGGCGCCTGCCTGCTTGTGCCGACTCCTCTCATCGCGATCGTCGCCCCGATCTGCTACCTAGCCGTCGCCGAGGCCCAGGCGCACTGCGACCGGTGTCCCGAGATCATGTGCTACTCGATGGCCCCGGGCAGGACCGTCTACAAAAACTGGTGGGGTCTGTTCGGCTCGCCCGACGAGGAGCCCTTCTTCCCCTTTGCGAACCCGGGCCTCGACTACGAGTGCAAGAACGACTGGGCCGACATGCTCCCAGATTGGGGCGGGCGCGAGGCCCTCGAAGGCATCTGCGACATGTGCGAGCCCGTCTTTGATAAGTACGGCTCCGGCCGCGGCCGCAGCCTACTTCTCGACAACCTCCACATGGGGCTCATCTCCACCTCGGTGGACACCGCCGTCGACACCAAGGTGGACGTCGGCAAGGATACGGCGGCAAAGGCTCTGGACGAGATGTCGCCCGAGACGATTCGGGCGCTGGGAGGGAGGAAGGGCCTCGCCTCTCTCGACGAAGCAAAGGTGGGGCTCGTCGCCGAACAAGCCAAGCTGCACGCGCAGGACAAGCTCAGACAGGGGGCCGTGCAAGCGGCCGCGTCCGCGACCGGCCTCGACGCGGACACCGTTGGCTGGCTCGGCTCATCGGTTGGCGCGCTGGACTACGCGTGCGACTGCGGATGGACGGAGGATTACGCGTGCCCGAGCGCAGAGCAGCCCGGCCGCAAGGGCTGGGCGCAGGACGCGTCGACGCAATGCTACAAGTACTGCTGCGAGGGCGTGGGGTCGCAGCTGAAATCGCTCGAAGAGATACGCGCCGAGGTGGGGCTTGACGACGAGACGGTGGCGAAGGGCCTTGGCTCGGTCGCCGACGCTGTCTCGGGCGACGACGATCAGGGTTACGGCAGCGAGCACTGGCAGCAGGGGAGTGGCTACGCAATGCAGCAGCCGTTCCAGCCGCAGCAGCAGCAGCAATGGCAGCAGTGGCAGCAGCAGCAGTGGCAGCAGCAGCAGCAGCAATGGCAGCAGCAAGCGCCGCCGCCGGCACAGTACCTGAATGAACGGCCGCAGCAACAGTACCAGCAGCCCCTCCCCGCTCAACAGTACGGCCCAGCCGCCGACACGTACGCGCAGACACAGCAGGGGTACACGCCGCCCTCCGCGCACCGCCGCAAGTTCTGGCAGCTTGGCGACGCGGGCCAAGGATGCGACGCGGTGTGCGCCGCGAGCGGCTCGGCCGAGTGCGACGTGGCGACACTCCGCGGAGACGAGGCGGATGAGGAGTACGAGGTGGAGGGCATCGCGAAGAACCTCCTTGGCCAGCGGTGCGCCAGCAGCTCGGGCTCATCGCCCTCCTTTGCGCCTGCCATCGACGCCGCTGGAGGGTGCCTCTATGCCAACCACGGCGGCCGCTCCTGCACCGTCACGTCTGCTAGCCACCGTCGCTTCTGCCCCTGCGTTGTCTACTAGAATGGAGCTCCCGATCGCCCGGTGTTTAGTTCTGTGTACACATTGTTGTAACCTGGTCTGTGCAAGCTCCCGCACATCAGCTAGAGAGGACGGCATTTTCACATCTCTCTTGAGCTGAGCGGCACCGCTCGAGCAGCAGGACGAGATCAGATTCCCGTCGAGAAGTGCGCGCCACACACGACGATTCATTGGGTAGATCTAGTCTTTGTTAGGCCTGGGATGTGAGGCTATTGACTGCACTCCAAGTGCTTGCCTCTTGGCCCCAGTTGAGTGAGGTACACACACGCGTCCCGCAAGCAAGCATGCCAGTTAGCGACCGGTTGAGGCTAATCCGAGATGCGGCCGAGGCTAATCCGAGATGCGGCCGAGCGGCAGTAGAGAGCACTCCACCGCCATACCGTTTTTATGACACCCGTGGACAAAAGAAAACCGATAACCCATCAACTGTACAAAAGAAGTCGCTGCCTGTGTCGGCCGCCGATGAAGGTCTCGATCGACGTATTGAAGGTGCCAGGCCTCACAGGCTGGCTACCACCGCTTCCACTCGCCGTGTCTGTTCCCGCGGAGGCGACGATACGCGACCTGACGAGGCTCGCGCAGGTTGCACTGCGCGCCGCTGGCGCGGGCGGCGCACGCGTCTCACTCGTGATGAGCCCTTCCCGGGAGGGCGTGCTGCCGCCCCAGGCGGGAGTTGCCGAGATGCTAGGGACCGCCGACGCCAAGGCGGTCATCCTAGCAGACATCCCGGGCGCGTCAAAGGCCGCCGCGCCGCCGGAGGAGGAGCACTGCCACAGCCACGGCCACTCGCACTCCGACGGCGACTCGGGGACGAAGCGGGCAGACGGCAAGCTTCCCATCACCGTTCTCACCGGCTTCCTCGGCGCGGGCAAGACCACCCTCCTCAACCACCTGCTGCAGACGCAGCGCGAGCTCAAGGTTGCCGTCATCGAGAACGAGTTTGGCGAGGTGCCGATCGACAACGAGCTGCTCGCGCAAAACAAGCTGGCGGCCGCCGAGCAGGTGGTGGTGATGGACAACGGCTGCATGTGCTGCTCGGTCCGCGGGGACATCCTCGGCGCCTTCACCTCCATCATCGACGCGGTCGACTCTGGCAACGGCCTCGACGCAGTCATCATCGAGACGACGGGGATGGCCGACCCGGTTCCTATCGTGCGCACGCTGCTCCAGACGCCGGTCATCGCCAGCCGCTTCGCGCTCGCGGGCGTGGTGACGCTAGTCGACGCCAAGAACATCCTGCGCCGGCTGCAGGAGCTTGACGAGGAGCAAGAGGACGACCCGGACGCACCGCCCGATGAGGCCTTCCAGCAACTCATGTTTGCAGACACGATCGTCCTCAACAAGATTGACCTCGTCGGCAGCGCCGTCGCTCTCGAGGTGTGGGAGCGGCTGCGCTCGATTAACGAAAAGGCGGACGTACTCCCGTGCGTGCGCGGCGCCGTCGACCCGGCTGAGCTCGTCGCGGCGACCGGCTTCGATATGGAGCGGATGGGCGATGAGTTTGGGGAGGACCACGGGCACGAGCACCACGGGCACGAAGAGCACGGGCACAGCGACCACCACGAGCACTCGCACAACGGCGAGGTGTGCACCAGCGACCACGACCACGACGACCACGGGCACGAGCACCACGGGCACGAAGAGCACGGGCACAGCGACCACCACGAGCACTCGCACAACGGCGAGGTGTGCACCAGCGACCACGACCACGCGACGCACCACAACAAGCAGGTGGGCTCCTTCTCGCTCATCAGAGAGGGGGTCGCCGTTCGCCCGCTCGCCTTCGCGCGCTGGATGCGCAAGGTCGCCTCCGCCAAGCGGGAGGAGGTCGGCGTGCTGTACCGCTCCAAGGCGGTGCTCGCGGTGCACGGCGCGCGCGCAAAGCTCGCTTTCCACGCGGTGCAAGACGTGATGGAGAAGAAGCTCGTGGGCGGCTGGGCGGTCGACGAGGCGCGCTCCTGCAAGGTCGTCTTCATCGGCAAGCGACTCGACCGCCCCTTCTTCGAGCAGTCCTTCGATGCCTGCACCTCCCCTCTCCGCACGCCGCTCTGCGCCTCGCCGCCCGCCGCCGGCTGCGCGCCGGGCGGGCCGCAGCTGCAGCCGGCGGCCGGCTCGTTCCTGCTCGGTCTCGCCGCGGCGGCGCCCGAGCTGCTCTACCTCCTCACCACCTACGTGCCCACCAAGCTCGTCGCGCGCCTCGCCTGCACCTGCGCCTTCCTCAACGACGCCCTGTGCGGGGAGGACGGGACCGAGGGCATGCGAGCAGCCGCCGTTGCGGCGGCGGCGGCGGCGGGCTCAAGCGCAGCCCCGCTGGCCTTCCACCCGGCGGCAGGGTACAAGGACCCGGCGGGTCTAGAGGGGCTGCGGCTGCATGGCTTGCGCTGGTAGATGCGGAAGACAGATCCACATCTCCCCACATCTCCCCACATCTCGCCACATCTCGAGCTCTAGATGCGGAAGACAGGTCCACTTACTCCAGCACTCCAGGCGACACGTGCCATGCCGTGTTTAATCGCATCCGGCTGCCTGTGTACTCACGCGGCGCTCTGAGTACGCGGCACGAGGCCGCCCTCTCTCGCTGACTCTGTTGTGCACAACGCAGGCCTGCTCTCCCTGTCGTCCGCGCGCGAGTACGTGGACGCGTTTCTGCACAAGACGACAAACAGCTTCGATCGCGCCTCCGGGCTCGAGATTGTGCCGATGAAGGGCCTCGCGTACGACTCATACGCTGGCCTCGAGGCGGCGGCGGTGACGTGGATCGAGCTGTCGGAGGTGGAGGGCGGCGGCGACTCCTTCGTCATCGACTTCACCTTCCGGCCAGAGACCATCGCCGAGTTCCTCGCCGCCGGCCCCCTGGCGACCGTCCGCTCCGCCCTCGCGAAGGTCGAGGTGCACAATGACGAGGAGGAGGAGTGGGACTCGCTCAAGTTCCGCCTCTGCTTCGAGCCGTCCCACCTCACTGCACCGACGACCGAGCTCACCGGCCAGGCGGCCATCGACGCGTACGCCGCCGCCGCCGAGGAGCCGCCGCAGCCGCCCGCCGAGGGTGAGCTCGCCCAGCACCGGCTCGTCTTTCAGCTCGTCGGCGGCAAGACGGCGTCGCAGGTCTACATGCTCTCCTTCCACACGGTGCACCCAGACTACCAGGTCCACGTCAAGGTTGGGGACCACCGCATGCCAAAGTTCGCCTCGCGCGAGACCTTCCACCGCTGGCATCCCCTCTTCGCCTCCCTCGAGCACAGCGCCAGCCCTCGCGTCCGGATGCTCATCCGAGTCAAGCCCGACGGCTCCGGGCCGCTCGGAGACATGTGCGGCTGCTGCTGAGCTCGCTCGCGCCGCCGGCGGCGTCTCGTCGTCGCCCTCGATGTCGCCTTTGAGCGGCGTCGGCCCGTGCGATGAGTGGCCGCGATGCGGCAGCAGCCGAGCCGCAAGGCGCGCGCCGCTGGTGCTTGTGGAGGGTGGCTGGAGGAGAGGGCAGAGAGCGCGTTGCGTGTGCAGTGGTGTGGCTCCGGTGGCGCAGCGAAGGCCCGCGGAGCGGACCCCCCCCCCCCCCAACACACACCCACACACTTCTTGAACCCCCGATGATGGCTTGTTACTGGCTTGTGCTTGTGTGCACGGTGAGCCACAGTGACAGTGTTTCCGTACTTGTACTTGTGACTCTCACCGTGTGCGATCCTCCTCACTGGGGACTGTCCTCACTTTTGACTGTTGATCTCTTGAACAATGAATGCACATCTCTCTGCACTCTATGATCTTTGAAGTTTGATCTAATACTAAGGACCTTCCGTCCTCCCGGGGCTCCGGTTCTCCCCGATTCGTTCTCTTGCTCGCTTGCCGAGCGCGTCATACGACGGCCGGTGTCGGGTCGTTTCCCTCGCTGTTGGTGTCGCTTTCTCCGCTGCCGCCTTTCGTCTTCGCCAGCTTCTCCCAGCTCCACCGGTTCTGAGAGTGTCGACGGCCCGGCCGAGGTTTCCCCGGGCGAGGACGGCGGCATTGGATCGTGCCGCCTCCCCTCCCCGGGAGGTCGGGCCCGCTCTTCCTGGTCGACGAATCGCGCCCGCACCCGCGGCCTCTCTATCGTCCTTGGCTCGCCCCTCCCCTCCGCTGGCCCCTCCTCAAGCTCGGGGAGGCGTGGCCCTCCTTGTCGCAGATCCCGGTGGTCCGGCTGCCGCCGCGACGGGTCTACCCCTGGTGAGCTCGTATGTCCCGACCCCACTCGCAGAGGGGCCGAGTTAGCTCAACTCTCACCCCTTCCGACAGTTGACTCCAGGTCTCACCCGGGGCCCTCCGGTCCCGGCCTTCCGGTTTGCCGGCTGACCCGCTGTCTTCCCACGGTACCTCCCCCCCCTCGATCCCCTCCCTCGGGTTCTCCAGCCTCCGGCGGGGCGGCTCCAGATCCCCCAGGTTCCGTGCGGGTCCGTACGGTGACGGCCACGCCGGCGGCGGGGACGGAGGCGGCGGTGGGGGGGCGAAGCTTGGTCCACAGTGTAAGCCGGGTCGTTTGATGTAGGCATGAGCTTGTGCTTGAATGGCAGCATGAAGAGAGGCACCGGGTCTTTTTCAAAGCCGAGGACAGCTTTTGTTATAGTGTATAGGTCCTTCGACACCGTTTTGGTGGTTGTCCAGGCGGAGTTGGTGTCGGAACCGGGGCTCTGTGGAAGGGCGATGACTGGGCCGCAAGAGCGCAAGTGTCTGCCCGGTGCGAGTAAATTTTGGCGGGCAGTGCGGGTACTGCGGGTAGGGAAGGTAGTCGCTGCCGTCCTCGCAGTAATTCTTTTTCATTTTTTGGTAGTCCGTGTCATCGCAGGCCGCCCAGCTAGTTGTCGCCGCGTTGCCAAAGGGATAGCATTCGAAGGCTAGCATATCGGGACCGCACCGCACGCGCACTGCTGTGTATTGCTGGAGCAGACGTTGGTGGAGCCGCCCAGCAAGTTGCCGCTCCCGCACATCTCATGATCGCGGTTGTAGTCGTGGTTCGCGAGGCCGTCGTCCCCGATATGCTTGTCCACGTGCGAGTCGGGCCGCGACGCAAAGGAGGGCTGGCGCGGCGTCTCCGCAGGCAGCGCGCTCGCAAGTGGCAAGAGCAAGAGGAGCGGCGTCTTCATCGCCGCGTGAAGGAGCAACCTGGAGTCAAAGCACACTCCTCGTCGAAAGCTGGTCGAAAGGGTGTGCTAGGACGAGACGTGGTGTGAGTGTAGAGGGAGCTGGTGTCGGCGGTGCAGCCGGTGTCAGCGGTGCAGCTGTGACGGCGGCAGCCGTGAGACGCTGAGTCGCGCGCGAAGTGGGGCGGGAATGCACACCGTGGACCGTGGGCGAGTCGTAGTCAACAGTGCCCGTCTTAGCTGTGGCAAAAAACCTTTGTGAGGAAAGCCAAACAGGGGTCCCGTACCCGCGCGGGGATACACAGGCCACAGGGGCAGCCTAGGCTGTTCTTCACACCTCTCTTCCGTCGCTTTCGTTACATGCGCACGCGCACACATGTTCATGGCCTCGGCCGTCGCGTGGTGTGGCCGTTGCGAAGCAGCGCGGAGCCTACACCAAGCGAATCGATTCAGGGGCAAACAACAATGCCGCCCCCCCTCCCCCCCCCACGAAGACGGCACGCCTCACGCTCAAACGCATTGTGGCTCGATGCCTTGCTCGCATGTAAGTCCTTCGCAGCAGTAGCCGGGGTTGCAAGGTTCGCCAAAGCCGTTGCACATAGTACATTTTCCCCCTCTGCAGTGTAGCCCGCAGCTCCAGCAATCCCTATCGGCCTGACAGTCATCCCCTGGGAGACACTGACTGGCAGTCGCGATGGCGGCCAGGGGGGGGAGGATATCGGGCTGTGGCCCGAAGCCCAAGGAAGCGACGAGCGAGGGGAAGAGCATCTATGCCCTTGCTCTCGCTGTCGCGATGCGCCGTTGGGTCTAAGTGCTCAAGGAAAGCCGGTACATCGTCATCTCGACGAACCTTAGGTAACACCGGACATTCACTTCACACTTGCTCAGACCAGATGAGATCCGGGAGATATCTGTGTGACTGTGTGCCGCCCAATTAGGTCGATAGGGTGCCCACAGGGCCCAAAAAAAGAAAGGAAAAAAGAAATGGGCCACCCCCGATCGCAGCACTTCGTGTTGGCCAGTCGAGAAATTGAGAGTGTGACTAGGAGGGTGGGACGCTGGGGATTCTCAAAGGTATACCCTTGGAATGGCCGGATCCAGCCTTAAAAGTACGAGATCGCGCGCGCTTCGCGCACAGCACCGCCTGTTCTCCGCGGCTGTGTGACGACGCGTGCCGTGTGCCACCAGAGTTGGGCGCGCGCGGCGCGACGGCGCCCGCGAGGGAAGGCGCGGGTGCAGCGGCCGCCGGCGGCCGTACCGCCTGCCAGCCGGCGCAGCAGCGGCCAGCGCAGCGGCCGCCGGCGCAGCAGCCAGATCAGCCGGTGCGCGCCTTGCGAGGCGAGTACTGCCGCCCGGCAGCCTTGAGGCGGCCGGGCGGCAGTACTCGTTCGAACTTTGCGAGCCGTGCGCGCGCCGAGGCGCCCGCGGCGCGCGCCCGCCCGGCTGCCAGTAGGAGGCGGCGCAATATGGCCTATAGTACAGCCCTTGAGGAGGAGGAAGAGGCTGGCTGGCAGTGCTGTATGCCGCCGAGGGGCAGTTTTGGGGTGCTGAGTCGCGCCCAGGGGGCTGCAGAACGCGTCCGCAACCGGGACAACCCGCCCCCCCAGCCGAGGCCGGTCGAAGCCCACTTGGTCACAGCCATGAGGAGTCCTCTTGGTGCTCCTGGCGCCCGTTGGAATGGCGAGCGCGCGCCGATGGGGGGGGGGGGGGGGGGTCTTGCTTGCTCCACACCGAGCGCCATCGGTCCAGACCGGCGTGACCACCGAGGGGTGGCCTGCACAAGGTCTGAGCCGCGGGCGCTCGGCGCCAAGTGCAGTGTCACGCTCGCGCTGGAGCGGCTCACAATGGGGAACCCTCGTTTCCTAGTCACTCGGTCCCCCAACGGAAGAGGCCTCGCTCCTATTGGAACTGGCCAACATCAGATTTGCCTCGTGCGTCCCTTTTTGAGTCGGAAAGCTATTTTCTTTTGGGTCCTGTGGGCACCCTAAGGTCGAGAGAGTGACTCGTCACTCGAGCATAAACTTTCCGACTCTCTAAAGATTTTGAGATATTTTGGAACAAGAAATCACGCCTCTGACCCACAGTGATTTATTTGGGCTCGGCAGCTTGTTAGCCCTCAGCCGAAGCTGGGGCCGGTCCCGTAGCCGAGAGAGCCCGCGCCGATGAGTTCGACGCGGTCGGGGGGCCCTGCGGAGAGGCCAGCGAGATGGCGATCGCTGAAGGAGAGGGAGGCGAGGCCAGACGGGCAGGCTCAGCTGCTCTCGGGTGATCTCGCTTTGGTGGCTGAAGGACCCGATGGTCCTGTCACATTCGCGTTCCGAGTCGTGGGGGCACACACACACTGAGATTTTTAGAAGCCAACAAGAAATGTGGCACACACAGTGATTTGGGCTCGGCAGCTTGTCGACTACCAGCCGGAGCCGGAGTCGGAACCGTAGCCGAGATGGTCGTCGAGAGAAGATTTTCAGTGTATGTATAGCTCTTACGAACATACCCGTAGGTGAACTGCTGACGGGGTTTGCGATGAGGAGCGATCCGAACGTGGTATTCGGGTGATTAGATTTTCGAATTTAGTATCCTTTGGGCCGTGTTGAGAGAGATTCTTCTTTCCGTGTTGTGAGGTGTGTTGTTGGCGAATCAGGACACAGAGCTCACACAAATTCACAGTGGGAGGAAAGCGGCGAGTTGCAATTCAAGGGCCACCCTGTCCAGCGCCCAGGAGGTGGATCGCGCGTGACCCCCTACACAGATAGGAGCCCGAAACCCTCACGCTGATGCTCTTGCGCGGTGCCACTTTTTCCGTGATATGTTGTGCACCCTTTCCGCGGCCATTTCGCTCCTGTCAACGACGCCGCGCGTCTTTGACTCCGTCTTCGCGCCGTCTGCGATCCGCACCCTCGTCGCGGCGGGCTGCGACCGCTCTCATTCCTTTACCACGGTCCTCGACAGAGAGGTGTCGCGAAGCGGCCGCACGGTGCTCGAGCGTGCGCTGACGGCTGTGCTAGACGAGCTCGGTGACGAGTCTCGCTACGTCGAGTACTGGTGGCGCGGCGGGCATCGGCGGATGGATAGCCACCGCGACGTTGATGAGGCGCTTTGCCGGAGCCGCAGCCATGCGGGCACGGCCGTGGGCGTGCAGCGCTGCCCTCAAAACGGCCACGTCCTCTACCTGGAGCTCGCCGAGGAATTGCGTGGGCCGACTTGTGTGTGGGAGGAGGTGCCGCTCTCTCGCATCACCCTGTCACACACAGTTTAGCATCTTCCTCTCTCCCTCTCCCTCTGCCCCTCTTTCCCTGCTTCCCTCCCCCTCCTTCAGCGCCTCGCCCCCCTCCCGCTCCGAGGCGCCGCCCGACGAGGCCTGGCTGTCCGAGGCCGCCGCCGCCGAGGCGGATGCACGTGCGGGCGCCGCCGACACTAGATGCGGAATTCCGACGAGCACTCGAGAGGACGCGCATTCAACCGTACTCAGCTGTGCTCATTGTGTCTCGCGCCCCTCTATACGTGCGATGCTTCGCCCGCCCTGACTCTGGCGCACGCACAACGCAGGCCCGCCTCATCTCTCCCCAGATCTCCCCAGATCTCCCCAGATCTCCCCAGATCTCCCCACACCGCAGGCCCGCCGCGCGAGCTGACCGCGCTGCACGTGGTGCCTGCAAGGCCAGGCCGGCTGCTGCGCTTCCGCGGCGACCAGCTGCACGCGGTCCCTGCGCCTGCGGGCGAGTGGCTCGGGGAGGCGGAGGAGACGGCGACGCGGCGCGCCGCGGACACTGCCGACGACTCTAGATGCGGGGAGCCACAGACTCGCGTATTCAACCCACCAACGCTCGAGGAGACGCGTTGCTCCGAGGACACGGCACGGGGCCGTATTCACAGCTGTATGCGCTGTGCTCGTAGCCGCGTGTCTTCACGCGGTGCTCCGATTACACGGGGCCGTATTCGCGCCCTGACTTTGGCTCATTCACGACGCAGGCTGACGCCCCCCCGCCGGGGCTCACCGAGGCCGAATTCCTGCGGTGGATGAGTAGACAGCAGGAGGCCAAGGCGGAGGCGGCGGCGGAGGCGGAGGAGGCGGAGGAGGCGGAGGAGGCGGAGGAGGGCGGGAAGGGGGGTGGCGCCGGGGAGGGGGCGGACGCGCCGTCGACGCGGAACGTCGTTCTGTTCAACACGTGGAGCTCGCCGCCGCTGCTGCCCTCGCCCGCCGACCCGCCTCCTGCCAAGGTTGGTCTGTGATATGAGTAGTGTGAATGATGTGTAACGCCTCGTACGCCAGGGCGCTCGGGCGTACTTTCCCTCCTCGCCGGCCCGCTAGCCCACCCCTCGCGCGTGCCCCTAGGCCACACCGACCCACACACGCTCACCCACGCGCACCGGGCCTTCCACTTCTAATGCCGTGCGGCTCCTGTCGTCTAGACGTGGAGTCGCGAGGGCTCGCCTTTCCCTTGCCCCACCACCTCGTGTGTGTGTGGAGAAGTGTACCTGACCTGACCTTAGGCCGTCGCGGCTCTCGAGGCCCTCACTGTCCCTCTGGCGTGCCAGCCCCGCGCCGAGTGGGTCGAAGCAGCGCCCGCCGCCGCCGCCGCCTCGGCGACCCGCAATAGAAGAGAGAGTACCGGTGGCGGCGAGGCGCACTTGTCGCAATAGAAGAGAGAGTACCGGTGGCGGCGAGGCGCACTTGTCTCACTGGTACGCCCTTTGCCCTGCTGAAGGAGCCCGCCGCCGGCGCCAACGAGCCGTGCTTGGTCGCGCCGTGCCTGGTCGACGCGCCGCTTCTGGGGGACACGCTGCGCCGCGGCTGCGAGGTCTCGCCGAGATCGGCCGAGATCGGCCGAGATCGGCCGAGATTGAGACTCGCCGCCGCGGCCGATGCGTTGCGCTGGCCCACTAGAGCTCGCGCCCGCACGCACCATGTCGCCCGAAGCGTGCGCGCCTACCTGTCTGGCGGCACTCCTCCTTCGCTGCCGCCGCCGTCGCTTCCCGCACTCCCACGCCGCCGCCAGAGCCCTCTCGCCCCCAACCAGGCACCCTCGCTTCGGGTGCGCGCCGACAAGCAGCTCCTCCGCTCCGCTCTCCACTCCGCCGATGCGTGGTACTCTGTCCCGATCGACGACGTCGGTGCTGCGGCGCGCGCGGGCGCGGCGGGCGCGACGCCGTGGCGGGCGGCGGCAGCTGTGGTGATGGGCGCGGCGGCGAGGCGTCGAGGCGTCCGGGGGAAGGGTCTCCTCATCGCCGGTCGCCCGTGCGTAGGTGAACGCGGAGGAGGAGCTTGCGGTGAGGCTCGGGTATGCCGAGCACGTCGAAGCTGAATTCTTTGGCGCAGGCGGCGCAGGCGGCGGGGATGACTATTTTGACGACGACGAGGACGAGGAGGAGGAGGAGTTGGGCGGCTCTGGCGAGCCCGACGGCGACTTTATTGCGAAGATGGCGCAGCTCCGGGCGCTCCAGGAGGATATGGGAGTCGGCGGCGAGTGACGCAAGGAGCGGTCCACCACCTCCGCGCCGCGCCGGCCGCCAGCGCGCTCTCGCGCCGAGGCCGGCTTCCGCGGCCCCGCGCCTCCACCACCTCCACCACGCGCCCGCCGCTGCCACCTCCGCGCGCGCCGCTGCCACCTCCGCCCCCCGCCACCTCCGCTTCCGCCGCCGTGGCCTCCACCGCCGCCACGCCGGCAGACCTCGAGAAGTGTGGCTGAGCAGGGCGATGCCGTTGGCGGCGACCCGTGTGATGGCGAAGAATTGCTCTCCCCGAGCGCAATCGGCTTGGGCGCGCACCTTTCTGCCCTCCCTCTCTCCACGGCAGACAGTGTTAGTTCCTGTCAGACTAGCATAGCAGATGAGAGTACTTGGAGAGTGCAGCCCTCAGGCGGTCAGGGGTTTCTTTAGACTTTTTAAGTGCGCTCTTACGTTCGGTTTTTCTTTTTGTTTTCCACAGGACCACAGGAGACACGTTTTGTGTTTATTTCCTCTTCGACATGGATCTCATGGTCATGCTCATGCGTCAGGGGCTTCACGTTTTGTTTATTTATGATTTATGTGCTCTTTTCGCCGACATGCACATGGTCGCATGCTCATGGATACATCATACATGGTACGATTTGATATATGATATATCGATCATGTGTGGTTGTATTGAGTATGAGTGTTGTTTTTAGCTTTTATGAACCGCACAGCTGACTCAACGCTGGCACACTGTACTCCACACGTCCATCTACCTCCCACCTTACTAAGCCGCTAGGTAAGCCGGCGGCCGACGGCGGCGGTGGCGGCACGCCGACGCGCGCCGAGACAGCCGCCGCTGCTCTCTCGGCGGCAGTGCGCTTGCTCGGCGGTGCTAAGTCCTCCTCCAAGTCGCGGGCGGCCTTGAGGTTCGCAGTCTGCCGGCCGAGCTCCGAGTTGGTCGGAGCCTCGAGCTCCGCCGACGCGTCTGCCTCGCCCTCCGACACCGCCGCCTCGGCGCCGGCCGCCTCTGGCGGGCCGGCCGTCGGCGGGTCCGCGAGCTTGCCCCACGCGGAGCCAAGCAGCTTGCTGAGCTCAACGGGCTTCGGGTTCGTCTCGATGATGCGCGCGAGCACCTCCGCCTTTGCCTCAAGCTCCTCCGAATTTGCTGCCTCCCGACGGGCCCGGCGTGCTCGGCAGCTCTTGCGGTGCTCTTGGTGCTGCTGCAGCGAGCTCGCGGTTTTGAAGCCTTTGCCGCACGGGCAGACGTGCGTCTTCTTCGCCTTCTTCTTGATCTTCTTCTGCTGCTGCTTCGCCGCCTTCTGCTGCTGCTTCGCCGCCTTCTTCTGCTGCTTCGTCTCCTGATGCAGCGCATCTAGATCCTTCCGGAGTCCGTCGGGCAGCATCCAGCGGTCACGGTCGTACGCGTCGCCGGGCACGCACGTCACTTCTCGCGCTGCCAGCCGCTCGACCGCGTCGTGCACGGCCTTCGCCGCCTTCTTCTGCTGCTTCGTCTCCTGATGCTTCCTGAGTTCGTGCCCCCAGCGGTCACGGTCGTACGTGTCGCCGGATACGCACGTCACTTCGCCTCGCGCTGCCAGCCTTGGGCTGCGCTGTGAACCCCGCCATCTTCATCTTCGCAACGAGATGGCGCAATGAGGACAGCACGAAGATCCGCCCGACTTTTACGTTGGGAGGCTTTTCGCGCAGCGCGGCCATCACCGCCTCCTCCACGCGGCTCTGATGCTGCTCGCCATAGCTCCGCCGCTCGGCCGTGTACCGCTGCACCAGCACGCCGCGCTCCTCAGTCGAGGCGGAGGCGAAGGCGCGGGCCCGCAGCGGGTGGCCGGCGGGGCAGTCGAGGTCGTCGCAGAAGCAGTTGTAGGCCGGCGGCGGCGGGCGGCGACTTCGCGCGTTTGGCTCGACGCCCAGCGCGTTCGCCACTGAGCAGGTCCTCAGCGCCGAGCTGGCCGAGCTCGCCCGGGCGTAGCTCGGGGTGCGCGCGCGAGCACGTCGCGCGAAAGCGGCAGCCGGCGCCATACCGACAGACCTCGGGCGGCGCGAAGCCGCGCGGCCGCTGCGGCATGGCCTGCACGTGCTTCCACCAGCCGGCCTCCTCCTCCTCGTCGTCGGACGCGGCCTCCTCCTCGCCGTCCTCCTCGTCATCGAGCTCGAGGACGTGGCTCGCGACTGGCGGCGGCGGCGGCGGCGGCGGCGCGCGCTGCGGCGGCGGCGGCGGCGGCGGCGGCGGCGGCGGCGGCGGCGGCGGCGGCTGCGCACGCGGCAGCGGCGGTGGCGGCGGGGCACGCTTCAGTGCCGCCTGCACGCTACCGCGCCGACTGTCGATCTGGGTTTGCAGCACCAGAAGCTTCTCCTGCAGGATAAGCTTCTCGTGCTTAGATCTAGCGGCGGCGGTGGACATGTGCATGTTCGACGGTGCATGCACATGCGCACACACACATCGCGAAGAAGAATTTTGTCGGGAAGAATTTTAAACTCCAGGAAACTGGGCACGGGACTGGCGCGCACTGGCACTAACACGTCGTGCGAAGAAAGAAAGAAAGAAGCATTCGACATGGGAGGACGGCACGCCGCCACCACACTTTTAAGGAGAGGGGTGTGGTGCGCTAGCCGTCGCCCACCCTTGGGCGTCTGCCTCTTCCTAACCTTCATGCCACCTCGCGGTTATCCCACTCTCGTCGAACGTCGTTCTCTCTCTTGTCGCTTCTTCCTCTTTCGCGTCGCCCTCCCTCTGTCTCGTTCTGGAGATTTTTAGCAATACCTTAATGTGATGTTACAGGTGGGTTAAGAGGGAGATGTGCGCGAGCTGCGGGACCGCCGGGACGGCGGGCGGGTGATTGCGACGCGCCGCCACTTTTGGCGACTTTTGGGACGCGCGTCAATCGGCCGAGATTCGGCATGGCAGGCGAGGGTGTCACGGCCATGATCGTGGCTGCTGACGCCGGAGACAACCCGCTGGCGGACCGCCGCGAGGACCGGAAGGCGGCGGCAGAGCGGGAGAGGAAGGCCAAGGTGGCGAAGGTCGCCTCGCAGGCGACGAACGCGATGGCGGCAGTGCGGGCGCAGCTCGATTTGCGGAAGGTGGCAGCAGACAAGGCGGCGAACAAAGCCAACGACGACGCGGGGGCGCCGGTGAGGGCGTCGTCCACGATGCTCGAACGAGTGTTCGATGCCCGCCTCGACGGTCCGGACAAATACGTTGTGGCTCGACGAAAGGAGCGAAAGACGGCTGCCGGGGCTGGCACTGCTGCCGATTTGGCGGCGGGTTTGGAGAAGATGACGGACTCCGTCGTCAAGATGGCGAAATACCAAACAACTCTAACAGCCTGGAGCCCTGTTTTTTGTTTTGCTCGTTCTGCGACGACGCCGCTGCCTGCGTGGACATCGCGAGGCAGTGCGATCACTAGCTTTTTTTCAGTGTACGTACTTTTAGTAAAAGGGAGAGGGCGTTGTGAGAGAGAGAGAGAGAGATTTTAGGAAACCAACAAGAAATCACGACTCTCTCTCACAGTGATTTGTCGAAAGTGATTTGGGCTCGGCCGCTTGTTTAGCCCTCAGCCGAAGCTGGGGCCGGTCCCGTAGCCGAGAGAGCCCGCGCCGATGAGTTCGACGCGGTCGGGGGGGCCTGCGGAGAGGCCAGCGAGGTGGCGATCGCTGTAATACTTTGCGTTGTGTATGCACTTGTATGTAGCTCTTCATTTTTGCCTCACAAAGCTCAGCCCAGATTTCTTTTTGAGTGGTTATCGTAAACGAAAGGCAAACAACACACACATGATGATGACATGCGCTGCTGGTTCTGTTCGTTTTGTTATGGCTACCTGTCAAAAGAAAGCCGATTGGCCTATACCGCTCGCTGGCCGCAACCCAACGCGCCAAATCCACCTCGCGAACTCGAGAACTGCGGGCGGCCTTCTCCGAGTGGCTGACCACCAACCGGAATCGCCGAACCCGGAGCTCCTGCGCCGCGGTCTCCTCACTGCCCCGCATGAAACTGATTCCAGGGAGCGGGCGCTTCGCCGGCAGTTCTTTCGCTCCGCTCGTGCCAGGCCTTTGGGAGCACCCGTACCTCGTCCGCGATTTCACGCGTGGGCTCGAGGGCCAGGCACCGCTCTCAGAGACGGGCCATGGCTACGACGTTGGGCGCTACAACGAGCGGCGGCGATCAATGTACACGTCAGAGCTCTTTGGAGGGACGCCTGCCTCGCCTACCTACACCCTCCCTCCCACCCACGTGCACCGCCGCCTCCCGCCTCCCAGGGCCGACCCTTGGGCCGCGGGCGTGCCGCCTTCGCAGCGGCGCGACATCCACATCGGGATTGACATCGGCGGCCCGGTCGGCACAGCGGTGCACGCCGTGGCGGACGGCACTGTCCACTCTTCCGGCTACAACGTGCGCCACGCACTCTCACCCGACCCTTGGCGCCCCAGCAGCCCCGCCACTGCGGCAGGTAACTCGGCGCGCGTACTGCAGGCCGCGGCGCTCGACTACGGCCACGTGGTGGTGACAGAGCACCGGCTCTGCGGCGTTGACGTCTGGGCGCTGCACGGTCACCTCTCGGCGGACAGCAGCGTGCGGTGGCGACCTGGCGACAAGGTGGCGCGGGGTGAGGTGCTCGGCTGGCTGGGCGGCACGCACGAGAACGGAGGCGCCCATGCTAGGCTCGGGAGGGGGGGGGGGGGGGTCATCGCGGGGAGATCTTGGGCTCCTGCGCCCGGATGACTGCATCACTCGAGTGAACACCTGACCGCCTTTTGGCCGGCCCCGAATGCCTCCCCGGTCCCGTCCACCGTTAGTGGGTGCCCTCCCTCGCCCTCAGCCGGGCGAGTGCGTCACTCAGGCTGGCCTCCGCACGTCCACTTCCAGCTGTCGCTCTGCCGGCCGGAGACGCACGACATGCCCGGCGTGGTGGCCGACGCGCAGCACGCCAGCGCGCTGCAGGACTACCCGGACCCGCGAGCGGTGCTAGGTCCGCTGTACGAGGGCGACGGTCTCTTTGAGTGACAGCGTTACTACCACTGTTGGCTCCGAGGGCTCCGACAAACCCAAGACATAACCCACGGCGGCCTCTTTCGTTTACCCGGAGGAACGGGCAAGGGTCTTGGAGAGGAATTCTGCAGCTGATTTTCTTTTTGTTTTTGGTAAGGTAAGGTAAGCGTAAGGTAAGGTAAGGTAAACGTCTCCACACACACAAAGTGGTGGGGCAAGGGGGGGCGACCCTCGCATCTCCACGCCCGGACACGGGCAGGAGCCCCACGGCATTCTTAGTGCAAGCGCACCGGCCTGGTGCCGTGGGCGTGGCGCGTGGGTGTGTGAGCAACCTGCACCCCACTCCCTCCCTCCCAGACACAACCTTCTTTTTGGTGTGTACAACCCCAGCGCCCAGGTCGCAGGTGTTACCCCTGCTACTCTCTTAAGGTTCCTCGGGCCAGTTTCGGGGGGCAAACCCTGCCCGGCCCCTAGAACCCCAGGTAAGGCCCAGGTGTAGCCTAGGGCATCAGAAGGGACCAAGAGCAGTCCAGAGTGTCTGAGCCATAGATAGAGGGTGCCCACAGGACCCAAAATGCAAAAGAAAATAGCTTTCCGGCTCAAAAAGGGACACACGAGGCAAATCTGATGTTGGAGTGTTCCAATAGGAGCAAGGCCTCTTCCGTTGGGGGACCGAGTGAATAGGAAACGAGAATTGCCAGTTTGTCACGCGCGCGCGAGCGTGACACTGCACTTGGCGCCGAGCGGCCGCGGCTCAGACCTTTGTGCAGGCCTCCCCTCGGTGCAAGCACCGGTCCGGACCGACAGCGCTCGATGTGGAGCAAGCAAGACCCCCCCCCCCCCCCCATCGGCGCGCGCCCGAGCTTTGAACGGCCGCCAGGAGCACCAAGAGGACTCCTCATGGCTGCTTGCAAGTGGGCTTCGACCGGCCTCGGCGGGAGGGGCGGGTTGTCTCGGTTGCGGACGCCTTCTGCAGCCCCCTGGGATGGGGACAGCACCCCAAAACTGCCCCTCGGCGGCATACAGCACTGCCAGGCAGCCTCTTCTTCCTCCTCCTCAAGGGCTGTACTATGTGGCCATATTGCGCCGCCTCCTACTGGCAGCCGGGCGGGCGCGCGCCGGGCGCGCCTCGGCGCGCGCACGGCTCGCAAAGCTCGAGCGAGTACTGCCGCCCGGCCGCCTCAAGGCGGCCGGGCGGCATTACTCCCCTCGCAAGGCGCGCACCAGCTGCTCTGGGTGCTGCGCCGGCGGCCGCTGCGCTGGCCGCTGCTGCGCTGGCCGGCGAGCGGTACGACCGCCGGCGGCCGCTGCTGGCGCTGCACCCGCGCCTTCCCTCGCGGGCGCCGTCGCGCCGCGCGCGCCCAACTCTGCTGGCACACGGCACGCGTCGTCACTCAGCCGCGGAGAATAGGCGGTGCAGCGCGCGAAGCGCGCGCGATCTCGTACTTTAAGGCTGGATCCGGCCATTCCAAGGGTATACCTTTGAGAATCCCCAACGTCCCTCCCTCCTAGTCACAATCTCAATATCTCGACTCTCCAACACGAAGTGCTGCGATCGGTGGTGGCCCATTTCTTTTTTACTTTCTTTTTGGGGGCGGCCCTGCCCCTGTGGGGAGCGTGATCATGGACGACGATGAGGAGCTGGGAGAGCTGCTGGAGCGCACCTTCGACAGAGTGTCTACTCGATGGTGCTCTCGAGGACTGCGGCATCTCTGGCTGGTGCGTCGAGCTTCTTCGTTCGCACGCCAACGGCACGGAGCTTCTTGATTGACAGCATCCTGGATGAAGGCGACTGTCAATGGCAATGGATGCGGCTCCGTTATCTGCCCGCTCTTGCGAAATAAATTCTTTTTCGCGCGGGTTGTAAAATTCTTTTTCGCACGACACTGCAGTGCGCGCCAGTCCCGTGCCCAGTGTTGTGCGAGGGAGTTGTTGTAAAATTCTTTTTCGCGCCCGAGCAAAATTCTTTTTCGCGAACCGCCGGAAGGCCAGAAGTCGATACTCCTCGCGCGCGACTAACTGCAAGCTTCAGTGCACGCGAGACACCCAGCAGCAACCAAACACGCGACACACACATGCGCGGAGGGTTCCTGCTCTGGGCCGCCGCCGCTGCCGGGTTCGGCGGCCTCCTGCCGCGCGAACGGCGGGCCCTCTCTGATGCCGATGCTCCGGAGGCGCCCGCGGCCTTCACTGCTGCCGCCGACGAGTGCCGCGAGCGCATCGGCCACACGCTTGGCGAGGTTTGGATGCAGTGCGTGGTCGACAGGCTGCTCGTGGCGATGGGTGACCCGACGAGCACGCATCCTCCCTTTGCGACTGTCCCACACACTTTTGATCCGCTTGCGCCACTGCCCTCGCACGCTGGAGAGGCCGGGTACGCGTCGTCGCACCGACTCAAGGACCTGCTGCGCGACTACAGCTGTGACGCGTCGGGGCCCGGCTCGACGCCAAGCCGCCGCTTCGCTTGGACGCACACGCCGCACGACCCTTGCGCGGCAGCCGAGCGCGAAGAGGCGGGCGGCGGGGTTGGGGGCGGGGGAGGCGCGGAGGGGGCGTTCCTGTACAGGAGAGGCTTCCTGCCGGCGGGGGACAGCCTCGGCGAGCTCGACGGTGAGATGATACCGCACCGCCCACGGGAATGAACCCACACTGGATTCGATACCACGGGAGGTATGGTACTAGGCGAGATGAGCGAGGCGGAGGCGCTCTCGCTCTGCGCCTCACACGCGCGGTGCCAGGGCTTCACCTATGCCTCCAGCGAGCGAGCTCACGGGCGTCGGCACCGCATGATGTTCAAGTCGGCGGCCGACGACGTGGCAGCCGCGGAGGGATGGCACTCGTTCAAGCGCCGCGCCGCGGCCGTCGATTGCTCGCCGCCCCCTGGCGCGTCGCGCCGCCCGCCGCCGCCCGCCGTCGAGTACAGTGTGGGGGTGCTGCGTGAAGAACCGCCAATCTACGTGGTCGACGGGTTTGTCTCTCGGGCCGAGTGCGAGGCGATGGTGAATGCGACCGTTCCGAGGATGGGCCGCTCGGTGGTCTCGGGCGGCGGTTTCTCCGCCGCGCGCCGCTCTTACTCGGTCAGCATCCGGAGAACGACGTGCGTTCTCAGTGCTCCTCACCAAGAATGGCATTGTTTGTTCTTAGGTCAACATGTACCCGGAGTACGATGACCCGAACCGGCGCCGTCCGAGAGCCTTCCGAGAGCCATTCCGAGAGCCTGTTGAGAGCCTCCCACCGCGCAACCCCGCTGCCCACACCCGCTTCCCAGTCTTCGGAATCCTAGTCTTCCCGGGCCGCTCGTCGGTGCTTTGCCGTCCAGATGTCTCGACTAAGCGTCTGGCCTCTCCCACCGCCCAGGCCCGTCACAGCGCTCGCGCGGCGTCTGTTTGCCTTTGCGCGAGAGGCGGCCGGGTACGAGACGTTGATGGAGGGCCCGGGCCAGGAGCCGGTCAACGCTGTCTACTACAAGGACGACGGCGACCAGGCGAGATCTCGCCGAGATCGCACGAGATCGCACGAGGCCGCGGCGGGATTGAGAGCAATGACCGCCCGACGGGCGCGGCGCCTCCTCTCCCAGCGTACGTGCGCCGCCTTGTGCACACCCCATTACCAGTGTGATTTTATCGAGACCTCCGCGATATATCGGAAGCCACCTTGCACCACGACCTCTCAGCCTCGCAACTGCCCCTCTGCCCAGTACCGCGCCCACTGCGACGGAGAGTGCAACGGCGGGCCGTGGCGCGAGGGGAAGCGGATCGCCACCGGGCTCGTCTACTGCGAGACGGCTGACCGAGGCGGCGACACCCTCTTCACGCGCGTCGGCCTCAAGGTGGTGCCCAAGCCGGGGCAGCTCCTCTTCTTTGGCTACAAGCTGCGCGACGAGGGCTCGCCGACGGGGTGGGCCGCGGCGATGGACAACGGCGTCACCGAGCACTCGGGCTGCCCGCTGCACGAGGGGCGCAAGTGGATCGCCACGATGTGGTTCCGCGAGGGCGTGAGCGCTGAGCGGCCGTGGGACTCGCTCCGCGACCTATAGCACGTTGGTCGAAGGTGCTGCACTTAGGCTTCGTCTTACGGTAAAAATATCCTCCAGACTCCAGAGGGAGAGCGTGGCTAGAGGGCCCACAGCGTCCTAATCTAAAATCTGAGGATTAAGGATTCGGCCTTCGCTTTAGTGAGGCCAAAGTGAGTTTATGGATGTGTGAGAACGGTACGGGACACGAGGAGGCACGCGGACCGACTCGTCGGCGACTCTGCTGCACGCCGTTTCAGAATTTTTCTCAGCGTGAGCGAGACGTGGAAGAGTGCCACCGTCGGGTAGAACGGGCCGGCCCGGAGCATCGGAGTAGCCGTCGTGGTCGCGGCGAGCAGCACCGGCCACTCCGGCGCTGCGTCGGCACCGTGGGAGCATGTCCACCGCCACTTCGCGGTCGCAGCGCTGCTTGTCGCCCGAAACGCCGCATATCCCTCTGGCGGGCCAAAGATCGACTCTCATGTCGATTTTGACTCGACGGCGGCATGGAGGCATCACGTCTCCATGACGCCGTCAAGTCGGAGCCAGTCTGCGGCGACCACAGCGCTCACCGCAGGGATATGCGAGCTTTTCAGAGTCAAGCTTTGGGCGCGAAATCCCACAGTGGCGGATTTTGGCGCTGTGGGCCCCCTAGCGTGGCCGAGGGCTGCATTTAAATTACTCGCGGGACGCGGCTCGCGCCGCTCAGCGCTCTATTCTAGTGTCGGGCGCTCGGGGAGTGACCAGGGTGAGGGGACGGATTGTGAAGATCCCTCACATGCCAAGATCGTGCTTCGTGTGCAGGGGCTCGCTTCTCTGGTAGGACGGGAACGAGATGATAGTAGGAGTACAGTCTAGAGTAGAGGAGACTAGGAAGCAAAGAGGAGCCCTGCGCACGACGCACGACTCCGCAGGACCCAGGAGAAGCCCCTCCCACCCGTGCTTGTGTGCAGCGCAGCCTCCTCCTCTCACAGAAAAACTGCGGCCGCCAGCGACTGAGCGTCTCGCTGGCGGACGGGGGACGGGGAGAGGAACACAAAGGGACGTACGGACGTCCATCCACTGGGATGAGAGTACTGGAGATATGAGGTCGAATCTGCTGATTCAACAGCCGCCGAAGGAGCGCCGCCTCAACACGGGGTCTCGGCTCTATCGAGCCATGCTAGCTCCAGCCGCAGCCCCACCCGGCCGCCCGAGGGTGTTTTCCCGCAAGCAGAGAAGACTAATCCTGGGGGAAGCAACCGGGCGGGGTCCGGGGACACATATACATACACATATGTCGCCCTAAATCCCATCGTCTCAGAGTTTGACCGTTTTATTTATTTATTTGCATAGACTCGATCGCAAGATCCCACAGTGAAAGAATGGCACCAATCCTTCCTCCGGGGGCCTCTGGTGTGTGGACAGAGGGTGGCCCGCCTCAATCGACCCCTGTTAAGTGACTCGTTCGTTTTCCACCCACTGTGATTTTGTGTGAGCTCTGTGTCTTGACTTGCCAACAACATACCTACAACTAAAAATCCAGTCCACATCCTGCGCCGCGCTGCTCCTCACTCGTACGGCTCTAAGAATTTGTAGAGAGTACGGAGTACGCGTGGCGTGTGCCACGATTACGGCGACGACGAGGTGCTCAAGCCCAGCACTCAACGGGTGGGTCAACGGGTGGCCCAAGACCAAGAGCAGGAGATACGGGTTCTTGACCCTCGTCCTCGGCGCGGTGTGTGTACTGCTGGCAGCTTTCAAGAGATGAACAAGGCTCGGAAGTAGTGCACTTTAATCTTTATGGTACGTCTTACCTAAAATAATATGACAGTGCGCAAATCTCTGAGAATAAATAAATAAACAAAGAGCTGGACAAATGCCAAATTCCAAATCGCAAACATAGAAACATGGCCATGGTGTACTGCATGCTATCTTGTCCATCCAATGGCCATGGTGGTGGTGGTGGCATCTTCTCGCCTACGTTTGTGTGCTTTGAGCATACGCCGCCCCGCTCGGGGGAGATCGAGCGGGAGGAGGAAGCGTTTGTTTTGATGTCAGGATCGCTTGTGTGATGGTGTATATTGTGCAACATGGTGGCCTAAATGGGAGAGCGAGAGGATGACATCCTAGCTATACGTTTGTCGTGTGGCTGTGGGTGAAGGAAATAACGTAAAAACTAAAATTCTCCGCAAAAGCTGAGTCTGTCCCCGCCCACCTTCCACCCGAGCCGCATCCTCTCCTCGGTGAGCGTCTCGAGAAGCAGGAGAAGCCTCGCCTCCTCGGCCTTCTTCGCCGCCTCGGCTGCGTCTGCCTGCGACAGCGCCTCGGCACCCTCCTCGGGCTCCTGCGACGACCCAGCAGCCCCGCCCGCCCCGCTGCCCTTCTTCTTCTTCTTCTTCTTGCCCTTCTTGCCCTTGGCGCGCTTCCGCCTCGACCTGCGCCAGCAGCTCCTTTGCATGCCGCGCCGCCTCCTTCTCCTCCGCCGCCCCTCTGCGCCGCCCTCTCCGCCGCTCCCGCCGCCCACGCCGCCTCCGCCAGCGCCTTCTACGCCGCGATCTCAGCCGCCGCATGATCCGCGAGGGCGCGCACGCACTCGGTGTGGCCCTGCTTCTTGGCCGGGCAACTCTGGCAGTTCCATGACCACACGTCCAGACGGACGCACACATGCGTAAACAAAGGACGGACGTTGCGCGACACATGCGTGAGAACAAAAGATAGGACATGTTGCGCCGCACCGACGACGTTCATACCCGGACAGGGTGCTCTTGATCCGCGAGCGCGGGAGCGGAGAGATGCTCGAGCGGAGACGCGCGCGGAGTTTTCTCTTCTCTCAATGTCTGTTGATAACAAAGGTGCAATGATTACGGATCTAGGACCCGAATCCGATGAAACTTGAAAGGTTACCACACTGGTCACTCTCACTGCAACACACGACACACCGCACCCGGGGGTTCGGATTCTGCTCAGGTGTGACATTCGAGCTGTGGCGGGTCCATGCCACTGCATGTAGGGCCCTCCGCAGCTCAAACATCGCGTCAATGAAGCAGCACTGCGCGGCGAACAGTCACGCTGCCCGCCGACAGCTTACAGCGCGCGGGGTCTGGCTAGGGACCGAGCCGGGAGGGAGCCGCCAGTGGAACTGATCAGTCATTTAACAATGAGCAACCCGTTCATGCCCGCCCCACGGTGGGGCTCGCAATAGTAGCGGTACGTGCCTGCAGTGTCGAACTTCTTGGAGAAGGTTGCGCCTTCATCCCCAAGCTCTTCTCCATCATCCATCGAGATCGACTCGACATCGACGCCATTGGGGATGGCTTCCTCGTCGAACTTGACGTTGTGTGGGCCGCCCTTGTTGTTGACCCATGTGACAGTGTCGCCCTTATTGATAGTGATTTCATAGGGGACGAAGACGAGCTGACCGGAGTCCGCTCCCATCTTCACGGTTTTGGTCTCAGCTTTTTCGCCAGGCGCTGCAGCCATCGAGAGGCCCGCCCGCGGCAAGACCAGCAGCACGGGCGCTGAACGGGGCCGGAGCCAAGGCGCGCGTGGCCAGCGTACCGACCAGCGCCCCCCCGCCGAAAGCGGCGGTGACGACGAGAAGCAGTGCCCTGCGGCTGCCGCTCTCGGCCTCCATCATGGCCCCCGAAGATGGGATGCCCGAAGATGCGGACCTCATGCGGACGGCCGAACCTGTCGCGCCGTACAACTGTAATCCCGCCCGAACTAAACTCTCGAAGTTTACGATCAACCCTGATTCCAATTACGAGTATTGCACGCATTCTCCCTTCGCAGGAATTCTTGGGATTACAAAAACGGCTCTCCCAGTACTTTTAGCTTAGTGAGAAAAGGGACAGGGGTCTCTCTCTCTCTCTCTCTCTCTCTCTCTCTCTCTCTCTCTCTCTCTCTCTCTCTCTCTCTCTCTCTCCCCCCCCCCCAAAGTCGAACCGTCTCTCTTTGTACATACATACATCTATCGGGATAGCCCCGGTATCGAAGCCTCTCGAGCTTGCTTGATAGGTCGGCCTCGCCCCGCAAAATAACCCTCCATCCACGGAATTCCATCCACGTGGCAATCAATCTCCCGCGTGCCGAATCGCAATCGGCACGAGAGGGGGTATCCGCGGGTCGGGCGGGGGGGGGGGCCGCTCCCTCCTGGATGAGGATTCTAGTTCTTCCCTCCATAAGATAAGTAAGGCCACCTCGAATGTGCATAAGAGGTGGTCATTGAGAGGGGAGACCTAGGGACCTAGCTAGAGACTGAGGGGGTTGGAGGTTATTTATTTTGTCTGGCCGAGGTGCTTGTGCGAAAAATACAGCGCGCAAAAAAACTACTACGACTACTACTCTTCACACTTCACACTCCCGTGTTTGTTTTTGTATTTGCTTCCAGGCGAGGGCATCGCCGAGGGTGGGCCCACTGCGCACTGGGCCCGGGCTCCTAGCCGGAGATAGCGGGTCTGTTGCCACTCACTGCACACTGGCTGGCAGCCCCTCCCAGATAGCGAGATGGGTAGGTATCGAAGATAGGTAGGTAGGTTGGTCTTGTTTGGCCCAAAAGGGCCCTACAACAGGTGGGTACCCCCTATTTTCGCCTTTTTGCGCAGCGGCGCCGCCAGGCGCCCGCCGCCCGCCCCGGCGGTGAGCGACGCGTAGCGAGCGAATCTTTTTTCACTTCGCTGCGCGGCGTGGGGATAGGTAGGTAGGTAGGTAGGTAGGTAGGTGAAGAATGGACACCAACGCGGTATTAGGAGCGCGCCCATCCGGCCAGGAGCCAGAACCCTGCCTCGCTGCCACAACCACAACCGCGTCCAACGATTGGCTCGACTCTTTCAGACTTCCCTACCTCACCCTCGCCGTCGCCGTTTCCGGCCGGTTCGCGTCGGCGGGCACATTCCCACGACCGACGTCTACCGCGAGGCGGAGAAGCGGTGGCGCCACTCGCTCCAGGAGCCCGGCGAGGAACTAATCGACTTTGAGCTCGCCGACGATCGAGTCCGCCGGGTGGATGTGGCGGCCGACGCGCCCGACTGGCTGCGCGGAGCTGTACGCGTTGTGTGGTGTCGACGGCTTCCGCTTCCTTCGCTGCCCGTTCTTCTCGCCAGAGGAGGAGCTCCGCTGGAGCCACGCCGCCCTCGCCGCATGGACGGAGCCCGAGGCGAGCGAGTCCAACCTCGACCTGACGCACGCCGGCGAGCGGGGCGCGCTGTGGGCGCAGCACGAGGCGGCGCCGTCCTCGTCGGCGCTGCGGCACCTGAGCTGGGTCACGCTCGGCTACCACTACCAGTGGAGCGAGAGGCGGTACGATGAGGCGAGGCGCTCCCCCTTCCCGCCGGCGCTCGGCGCGCTAGGTGCTCGCATGCACACCACGGCCCGCAGATGAGCCTGTCGCTCTTAACATGCACCGCGCTCACGCACACACGCACACGCACACGCACGCACACACACGCGCCGCAAGCACCGTGTCACAGCCATGCCCAGTGGTTGAGTGGACCACGCACGTCTAGGCGCGGACCTCGGCCGCGCCGTCGGCCAGCCGCTGCGTCCCGAGGCTGCGATCGTCAACTACTACGCGCCTCGCTCCTCGATGGGAGGGCATTGCGACGACGCCGAGCCGTGCCAGGACGCGCCGATCGTCTCGCTCTCCTTTGGCACGCGGCGCCCTTGCCCCTCCCGCCCTGCCGCCCTCCTGCCCGGCCCTCGCCTCCTGTCCCGCTCCAGCTCCGCCGAGGTCGCACACGCCCGCGTGTGAGCCCCTCCAGGCCTCTCCGCCACCTTCCTGCTCGGAGGGCCCTCCCGACACGCCGCGCCGCTGGCGATGCGGGTCCCGCTCGGGCGACGTGGTGGTGCAGGGCGGCGCCTCGCGCGGCTGCTACCACGGTGTCGCGCGCGTCCTGCGAGGCACCGCGCCCGCTCGCTTGCGCGAGGCGGCCAGCGCCGGCGGCGGCGGCGGAGGCGGCGACGACTTGCGGGGCGTGGCAGAGTGGCTCGAGCGCGGCCGTATCAACATCAACGTGCGGCAGGTCGGGCTGGAGGCCGGGTAGGACGAGGATCCGGATGCAGCGGCGGCAGTGTTGGCCGGCGGCCGCCGGTGTCGGGACGATGGGTGATTAGCCGAGCGGAGTGAGGCTCTCTTCTCTTCTTTTTCGTTCGCGTGCACGCGGTGTGCGGCTGCGGGCTCTCTGCCCTGTGTGTGGCTGTGCTGACATTTTCACATTACAGTTTACACATACGTATTCCACACGTCACGTGCATATGCACACCAGCCAGCAACAACAACTATGCCATCATCTACACCAAAAGCAGTGGGAAGCCTCCTCGTCCGCCTTCTTCCTGACTGCCGCCTCGTGCGAACCACCGCCTCCGGTGAGCTTGTCATCGATTTCCACGCTCGCGTGGCACGGTGATCCCTGCGGAGCGTACCGTCCGCATGGTCGCGACGCGGCCCCAACCGGGGCGGCATGACCGATGTTTTTGAACTTCGATGGGCGGCCGTAGACAGCTTGCGCCTTCTCTTCAGGCGGCGCCGGACCATCATTCGTCAGAGCGTTCAGGTCGCCCGAGGAAAATTCGACGGGCAGCGGAGCGCCGGCAGCCTGCCTGCAGCCGCTAGCGAGCACCACGAAGGCGCAAAGCCTGACGGCGGTGTGTGGCATGGAAGAGGATGTCGATCGACTGTGAGGCCTGCAAGGCCAACGAGGCGTCTCAAGGGAGAAATTTGCGTCACATCGGGCGATATCGCCAACCGCGCGCTCGCGGCTGTCGCCGCCGCCTGCGTGCCCGGCGCGAAGGCTGTCGACTTGTGCAACATCGGGGACGCGTACATCAACGAGGCTGTTTCCAAGATCTACAACCAGAAGAAGGAGGGCAAGAAGCTGGTTGGTGGAGAAGGGTGTGGCGTTTCCGACGTGTGTGTCCGTCAACAACTGCGTGGGCCACTACTCGCCGCTGACGTCAGAGGACAAGGTGGTGCTCGAGGATGGCGATATGGTCAAGATTGACCTGGGCGTGCACGTCGACGGCTACGTTGCCGTCGTCGCGCACACTGTGCTGGTGGGCGAGCAGGACGTGTCGGGGCGCAAGGGCGACGTGCTCATGGCGGCGTGGACGGCGGGCGAGGTGGCGCAGCGTATGCTCAAGGATGGAGCCACTAACAACGACATCTCCCAGGCGATTGCCAAGGTGGCGGAGAGCTACCAGTGCTCACCCGTCGAGGGTGTGCTCTCTCATCAGATGAAGAAGCATGTGATTGACGCGAACAAGAAGATCATCAACAAGATCACGCCGGAGCAGCAGGTGCCTAAGGCCACCATAACCAAGAACGACGTCTTCGCGATCGACGTCGTCATGAGCACCGGCGAGGGCAAGCCGAAGCAGGTGCGCTCCGCGGAGCCTCGCCTGCCTCCTTGCACGTCTCCTCGGCACGTGGCCTTCGGCTCGGCTCGAGTGGGTGCCTGCACGCGATGCGTGCGCCCTGCTGACCGCGACTGACCCACGTGCGGTGTGCGCTCGTGCCCGCCAGCTGGAGGATCGGACCACCGTCTTCAAGCGCAACGTGGAGGTGAGGACATACTCGCTGAAGATGAAGGCGTCGCGCGCCTTCTTCTCAGAGGTCAACCAGCGCTTCCCGACGATGCCGTTCACGCTGCGCGCGGGCAACGAGAGGGAGTGGCGCATGGGTGTCACCGAGTGCGTGAAGCACGACCTCTTCATCGAGTGCGTCTCCCGCCCCGTGACCGTTGCCACGTGCTGTCACCCGCTCCAGCATGCATGCCATGGCTCACCATCGGCGCTTGCGCTTGCTGGTCGCGATGCCTGCAGGTACCCCGTGCTGTACGAGAAGAAGGAGGAGTTCGTCGCGCAGTACAAATTCACAGCGCTGCTGCTTCCGTCCAACAAGACGGCGCGCATCACCTCGGGGCCTGCGCCGACGGCGACGAGCGAGCACTCTGTGCAGGACGCTGAGCTTGTCGAGCTGCTGGCACAATCAACCGAAGACAAGAAGAAGGCGAAGAAGTAGAATAAGAAGAAGGGCGGTGGCGAAGGGGCGGTCGACGTCGAGTGAGGCGCCCACGCGGGGCTGACGATTGCGCGTGGGCTGCGCACGCCAACGGTTGTGGATCTTCTGTGATGTGGCGCATGAGTCTGGTAGCCATGTCGCTATCGCGTGGGGCGAGGTGGCCTCCGTGAGACTGGGGAGCTCCTTTGCGGCGCACCTCTCTCGAGCCTCGTCTTCCCGGCAAGCCAAGTCGTTGATGGGCCAGCATTCGCTTTGCGCATGCTGGTGGTGCATCGCACGTGGTGAGACCCCGACAATCGTGAACGTGCCATATCGCATCGCGTGCATGTCTGCTGACCAGGGGCACATGTCGCCTTGGAGGTGAAAGGGCCGGGTGCATGGCCGGGTCTCCACCCGGTCACCACACCGCTTTTTCCCCAGGGCAAAGGTGGACACGTCCTGTGGTCGTGCGATGCCCCTCTGCGAGCCGCCGTTCACGGCGTCATTCCACACGCTCCCTTCTCGTTCTTAGATACACGTGATATCGTAGATAAGTTGTAGGATCCGCCTTTGAAGTTTCTTATTTTCCGAGTTGGGATTCCACCGTGCACCGCGCTGCGAGCCTGTCGTGTCCCTTGTCAGGAGCAGGAGAGCCCACCTGTCCCCCTGATCGTCCTTCCAAAATCCTGCTCGTGCAGGTGTGGATGGACCCTGTCCTCCTCCCCTATCCCTCGTTTGGGTTGTCTGTTTTCTTTCTTTCTTTCTTTCTTACTTTCCGGGGTTCCAGGGCACCCGCCGCCCCCGCGCGCGCCCCGGCCGGGAGAAAGAAAGGGGAGTGACAGTTTGGGACGGCGACAGACGAGAACCTCGCACTCCATGTGCGAGAACGCAGAGAGAATTTTACCTCTGGGCCGGCGCGGGGGCCCCAGAGGGTGTCCATGCGGGGGGGGGGGGGGGTCCCATGCGCCATGGCCCGCCGCACGCCGGGTTTTTCGGTGTTTTTTTAGCGATTTTTTACTTGTTTCCATGGGAATTCGGCGTACTTGCGGCCATGCTATCACGCCTTGCGACATCCTTTCGGCACTGCTGACCGTGCCCTAGACCGTGCCATGCTGCACAATTGATCACCTGCGTAGCTCGCGGCCTTAGTAAATAGTATCAAGCATTCAGTGACGACCTGATCGTACGGCCAGTAGGAAGGTGTCCTTCCATCCTACCCAATAAACACAGCTGTGAGATCGGTAAAAAGGAACAGGTCCCCTCCAAGTGCTCCAAGTGCCGCTCCAGTGCTTTGAGCTCGTTGAATTCGTTCTTTTGAGAGGGCTGTCGATTTATGTTTTTTCGGTTGTTGCATGTTGGCCAGAGAGAAGCTCTTGTTGGCAAATCAAGACACATGCAGGGTTCTTTGTCAGTCAGTGTACTCTTAGCTTGAGCACTTGAGCACTGGATAGGGTCAATTCCGCGTGGTACGGGACCCCTCGATCGTCTCGCCCTCCCTCACTGGAGTGTTCATTGGGTGGGGTCATAACAAACAGGTACAAAAAAATTAGATATTCTTACCTTCTTGCCCCCCTCCGAGACTGGAGACAGAACCCACCCGTACACAGGAGAGATGGGACTGCGTCCCGCCCCCGCTTGCCCTGACTGCACAGGATAGCGTGCCCCAATTGGCGACACATAGCGGGGGACACTGCGCAAGGAGGGGGTGCGTCGCCTTTCTTTGTCCTCTCGAGGGAATGTTCTCTCGACGCCCATGGCCTTTTTCTGAGGTTTCGTACTAATGACGTCCTTCTTGGCACTTCGGGCGTCGGTTGTGCGTATCTGTAATATTCCCCCGGTGATGTGTTACGGGTATCGGTCGCTGAGTGGACGCTATCTCTAACCATTTGATCTACGTTTGCCGACTTCGGCCGTCGGCCTCTCGATGGTCGAGTGGCTTCCGGATCGAATCGGCGACTATGACCCTTATAATTTTTTTCACACCTGAGCGGGCCCAATTTTGCTCAGATGCACCTCCGAATTCGAAATCGCGTCCTCACGCTTAGCGCTTGGTGTGCGTCCGTTTTTCGTCACGGGTACAAGCTAAGTTTAACAAACAGGTACAGGATCGAGGTGCACGCTGCCGAAGCAGTGTCGTCCCCCCCTCTCCCCGACGGCGATGGCGGTGTGACCGATCGAGCTACAAGAGGAGCTTGATCAGCAGGATCCGGGATAGTCTGGCGCACTACCTCACTGGGCCTGAGACCGCCGCGACAGCATCCCATCACCCCTCCGGGTTTGTGTGGGGTCGAACCACTCCTAGCTAGTTAGCTTGGGAGAAAGCAAGCAGAAAGGGGAGAGAGAGGGAGGGAGGAAGGTGTGTTCTCTAGGTAGCCCCCCTTTGGGGCCCTACCTGCCCGGCGGGAGAGTTCGGAAGCGAGCTTTGCACGGCGGTCGAGGAGCCGTCCGACCGTCCGTGGTTCACCCTCCCCTTCGCGATGTGAGGAGCGACACCCGCGATGCGTGGCATTCGGGCGTCAAACGATGTCGTGTGCGGTATGGCGGGGGGGGGTCCGCAAGCCGGGGTCGTCCTCCACAGAATGCGGCGGCCTCGAGTCCTCGAGAGTTCGCCGTATTTAAAACATCCATGTCGACGGAGAGCCGTAAACGCGTAAGCCGAGCAACCAAGCCGTAACCAATTCGGTATTCGCTATTTTCGGTCTCACCAAATCTAATGTTCGAACCACAACGAGGGGCGAGCGGGCGAGAGATGGGAGACACCCCGAACAAACACGGCGCACTCCGCATACACACACACAAGACACGTTCATTCACACACATGCAACAGACACGAATAACATTCAAACTAGCAACACAAACAAAATAATAAAACTCGGTGTCGAACACCGCTCGGACCGCGCTCAACAGAGATAACAGAGAGATGTCTACGCGTGCGTGGGGGCGAGCTCTCGCATCAAAGCCCTCGCACGCTCGGGGTCGGAGAGCACCTCGTCCGGCGACATCACCGTAGCGAGGTGAGGCACAAGCGCGAGCACCCCCTGGCACAGCATTTTCGCCGTGATGCCGAGCTGCATCCTCTCCTCTCCGAGCTTCGCGAGAAGTTCCCTCTCCTTCTCGGTCTTTGCCGCCTCGTCTGCGGATGCCCTCGGCGCCTCGGTGCGCGTCGCGCCGCCGGAAGAGCGCAGCCCATCGGCAGTCTCCTTCGCTGGCGCCTCGCGCTCCTCCGACGCAGCCTCAGGCTCCTGCGATGGCCCAGCGAGGCTGCCGCCTGAGGGCTGCATGTCACCGCACCGACCGCGGCGGACGACGGCCGATGCGTGGGCGAGCGCCGTCGCAAGGTCGACGGGGATAAGCTGGTCATCGTCCAGGATCTCGAGGAGCCAGGAGGCAAGTGAGGACGTGCTGGCGCCGAGGAGCAGCGAGTCAAGCGAGTCGAGGCGGGCGGGTGAGCCCATGCCCGTGGCGGAGTCGGTGCCGCAGGATGAGGTTGTGGCGGAGGCTGTGTCGAGGGAGGCAGTGCCGCCGAGGAGCAGCGAGTCAAGCGAGTCGAGGCGGGCGGGTGCCGATACACATCGGTCTTGCCGCTGCCAGCCGGGGGCGCCGAATGGCAGCGAGGCGAGGTTGGGGGGCAGCGATGTCATCACGGTAGTCGGCGTGGAGAAGTCGTTGTGTGGCTCCTCGGGCGAGCAAGGGACCGCAAAGGCGCAAGGCACGAGCGATACACATCGGTCTTGCCGCTGCCAGCCGGGGGCGCCGAATGGCAGCGAGGCGAGGTTGGGGGGCAGCGATGTCATCACGGTAGTCGGCGTGGAGAAGTCGTTGTGTGGCTCCTCGGGCGAGCAAGGGACCGCAAAGGCGCAAGGCACGAGCGATACACATCGGTCTTGCCGCTGCCAGCCGGGGGCGCCGAATGGCAGCGGAGCGAGGTTGGGCAGCGATGTCATCACGGTGGTTGGCGTGGAGAAGTCGTTGTGTGGCTCCTCGGGCGAGCAAGGGGCCGCAAAGGCGCAAGGCACAAGCGTCCGCATGACGCGAAAGCTAATCTGGTCACTCGCGGCGCTGGGTAGCGGGACGAGGCCGTAGAGGACGCCGAGGCAGTCGTCTTTCAGAATCACGAGCGTTGGGCCGTTGCAGTCCCGCGTCTGGTTGGCGACGCGGTACGGCGGCCAGCCCCACGCGTCAATGGCCTTGTTCCAAAATCCGCCGGCGTGGCAATTCGCGGGCATGCAAATCCCGGTCGGCACTCGCACTCGGCCCGCAGGCACAGTCACGCCTCGCAATCGGCAGCGGGTGCAGAACTTGTCTCTGAAGCTCCCTCCGCTCTTTCCCGTCGGCCTCTCGCAGGCGCTGCCCGATAATACGGCGCCCCAGCAGAGGCTCGCCTCAAGGTGAGCGGCCATGGTAGTAGCTGCCCCCCCGGGGGCCGACAACCACAGCTGTGCCTGTCCGAGGGGTGTTCATTTAGCTAGCCCCCCCCCACAGACGGCCCGGCCGACGGCGTTGCGGCTGCCGGCACCGCCACCATGCCCGCCCCCCCCACCACCGCCTCCGCCCCCGCTGCTGGAGCGGCCGCTGGGTCGAGGAGCCGCCGCTGGGGCTCCACACCAGGCGGTGCGGCCGCCAGTGCCGCCACCGTTTCCGCCACCCACACACTACCACCTCCACCCCCGCCGCTGGAACGGCTGCAGGGTCGAGGGGCCGCCCCAGCGGCTCCACACCAGGCGTTACGGCCGCGAGGGCCGCCACCGTACCCGCCACCCCTGCCGCCGCCTCCACCCCCGCCGCCGGCGGGGCCGCCACCGTATGGACCCGCCCGGAATAACCTGGGGGATCCGGAACCGCCCCGCCGGAGGCTGGAGTACCCGGGAGGAGGAGCTGGGGGAGGGGAGTTGCCGCAATACGATAACGGGCCCGCCGGCGAGCCGGAAGGCCGACGCTGGAGGGCCCCAGGGGGGGCTTGGGGTCAGTTGTCGGAGGAGGCGAGAGATGAGCTGACGCGGCCTCTGCGAGTGGAGACAAGGTCGGGCAGAGGGGACGAGACGGCGGCGGGGCCACAGCCAAAAAAGGCTAGGAGGGGAGGTCGGGCCCCGCGCCCGTCGGACAACCATCGGAGAGCGAACAGGAGGGTGAGCCCGGGGGAGAGGGGAGCCCCCCCCGGAGTGGAAGACGAGGACCCCGCGAGAAGGGGGCCCTGAGCGGTGATGTCGTGTGGGAATGTGTGTCATGTTCGTGTCTGGTGTCCATTATAGCTCCGAGTAGAGGGGGCGGTCTGCTGCTAGGGGAAACCTGGAGCGCGGAGCTAACCCTCGGAGACCCGTGTTTACTTTACGGCCCTTTCCCTGCGAACGCGCACCCCCCCTAGGGGTCAGGGGGCTCTCTAGCCCGTAGCCCGATGCCGATCATCCGGCCCGCTGGGTGCGCTTCTTAGCTCCCCGGCCCTGGATGTGAGGTTGATGACTGCACTCCAAGTGCTCCAAGTGGTATCTAGAAGCTCGAGTACCTGGTAGCTGCGACAACTGGGGTGTTCTCTCGAAGTTCTCGAGGTGGATATCCTTTGGCCGCGTTGGGTAGCGAGGATTGGTGTGACGCGATCCACGCAGGCGTGTTTTCTGGCGGCCGACCGTCAGTGCACGGAGTTGCCCCTTCTCCGACTGCCCCGGCTAGTTCACGAGTCGCGGGAGTGACCCCATGCGTCAAACCCGAGACCTAGCGCGGGTGGGTTGGAGGGGGCTCGCTGCAAGGAGGGGCTGTGTAAGAAGCCGATCCCCGTAGTCCGCCCTACTCCTCCCCATCGGGCCGCATAAGCGGCCACGCCTCGCAGATTCGTTCTCGCGCCTGGGTCAGGCGCGCGGGGCATCCCCCGGGTCGCTCGACCAGCGATCCGAAGAGTGGCCGCTATGCGAAGGAAAGAGCGGGGCCCTCGGGGTACGCCTCGTCCGGCCCCCTCTGAGGGGGGAAGGGAATTGCGGGGTCCCCACGGGCGCCTCTCTTCGCACTTCGGCCCTCCCACCACGGGTGTGGTCTTGGTCTTGGTATCGACAGCGCATCGCGCCAAGGTGACGGACGATGGATCTTCAGATCCCGGTTTCCTGCGAGACAGCAACCAAAACGGCGTTCTCATGTCGGTGGAATCCCACCGACCGGCCAGGAGCGGAAAGCCCAAAGAGAACACAAACGGCACCATAAGCAAAGGCTCTCTCTGGACGGGGGTACAACTGCACCACACAAGACGCCGAGCACAAAAGAATAACAAGACAGTGACTCAGGCAGTCTCTGAGGGAGGGTGTAGAGGATGTAGAGTGTAGAGCGCTGTAGAGCTGTAGAGATGTAGAGCGCTCTGGAACGCTGTAGAGCTGTAGAGCTCTACATCCGGCGGGGGACGATGTGAGTCGCCTGTAGAGCGATGTAGAGCGCGATTTTGCTGTAGAGTTTGTTGTAGAGGCTCTACAGCCAAACCGCCGGGAAGGCAGTGACTCAAAGAGGTCGAGCCGCGCTAATGGGTTGTCTCCGAGCTTACTGGAGCTCTGATGGACGGCCCTGACTATCCCTGACACACAGAGAGTCACTCTGACGACACACAACACACCCTATATAACTGCGTCATGACCAGCCTGCCATGCGTCGCCGGTGCCGCATTCGTCGCAGTGCTTCTTTAGCAGGCGGTGGACTGTCGGCTGCGAGGACGGTCGCATTTGCGTGAGGCGAGGCGAGCATTTAGACGCGTTGCATGCGCCATGACTCGCGCCAGCGCGTGCGGGAGCTCCTGGCTGAGCGTTGAGTCCAGGCGAGTTGCGCTGGCCACGATCGCTACGCCGAGCCGAGCTGACGCGCCGAGGCGCCGGCCAGTCGCAGCCGTGAGGCATGCCATAGCAGCAGAGGCACCTCCTACCCATTGGGCAGACAGAAGGCCAGGGCAGCACTGGCAAGTGCAACGCGCCTCATGTCGGAGAGCGACCGTGCCTCGTTCGACGCTTATGATGTAGAGTTTGTTGTAGAGATTTCACGTTGTAGAGCGCCTCTACATCGCTCTACAACGGAGGCGCCTCGTCACGCGGCGGATGTAGAGCTCTACAGCTCTACAGCGCTCCAGAGCGCTCTACCATCTCTACATACAGCTCTACAGCGCTCTACACTCTACATCCTCTACACCCTCCCTCAAGGGCAGTCTCGCTCGGGCGGATGAGTCAGAACATACTAAGAGCACCTAAAGGAGCAAGGCATACAGCTGTGAAGTGGTCTCTCTCCACTGACATGGGGGTACCTGCGAGAGGAGCTGCTGTGGTCGCGGGAGAGCCGCTGCGCAGCTGTGTATGTGAATGTGTGTGTGTGCGCGCCCCTCGTCGCACGTCGCGGGCGGAGTGTGCACGAAGCACGCACTACTTCTCATCTGACTGACTGTCGTCGCGGTCTGTCCGTTCTCGACTTGGTCCGTCCGTGCGTGAGCCCGGGGTTGTGCCTTTGTGAGCACCCTCACTCACAGCAGAAGAATTTTACAACAAATCCCCTGGCGAGTAGAGGCCCCGCCCACCCGGGGTACCCCTCCGACCGCGGGCTCTCTCCGACAGACACACACACACACACACACACACACACACACACACACACACACACACACACACACACACACACACACACACACACACACACACACACACACACACACACACACACACACACACACACACACACACACACACAAACTCACAAGACACTCAGCCAGCTGGGCTGCCACACATCCCGAGTGAGCGTACGGCACTACGCCACTCAGGGCCACGCCCGGCCCCTGTCGCCACCCCCAGCACCCACGGTGCCAAGGGCACAAAACAGCTCCCTATCACGACAGTGCAGAAAGAAACCCCAAAAGCAGGACAGAGCCACCCCGGCGGGCGCAGCCTGCTGATCAACGCGCGGCGCAGCGGCACCGTGCATGAAATTCAATCTTGACGCCTATCTACGACGGATCGGGCTACCGTGTCCGTCTCAGGAGCGGATCTATCAGGACGGCCATCGACTACTGTGTGACATCACAGCTGCGCATTCTCGGTGAGGCCCAGCCCATCGGGCTGAATGTGTCGCCATGCAGTAGCACGCGCCCCCGCCCCCCCCGCCCCGACTTTGCCTCCAATGCGGGCAGGCTGATGCGGGACAGCGTGGTGCACCGCCGCCCACTTCACGGCAGACACGCCCTGCTTGTCGTGCAGGGCTATCCCATTTGAGAACCTCGACATTGTGCTTCGGCGCGGCTTCATCTCCCTCGAATGCGAGGACCTCGAGAGGAAGCTGGTAGCGGGCGGCCGCGGCGGATACTGTTTTGAGAACAACCTTCTGCTCTGCCTCGCGCTCCGCTCTCTCGGCTTTGGCGCGACGCCAATGCTTGCACGGGTGCAATCCGCAGCGGCGGGGGACGCGCTGCTTGCCCGGCCCTCATCTCACGTTTGACACCGGCGCAGGTCCGTTGGAACACGCCCCCGGACGAGCCGCAGCCGTTTGGCCACCTCGTGCTGGTGGTTTCACTCCCTCGGATGCCCACGGCGGCCGCCGCCACGCTTGCCGCCGACCCGAGCTCCGCAGGATGGCTCACGATGCAGGCTGGCCGGTGCGACACATTCCTTGTCGACGTCGGCTTCGCAGGTTCGACGACCTCGCACTAAGTGAAACCGGAGTGGGGATAGCGCCTGGGTTGGGTCAGGGGGACTCGTTCTTGCGCTCAGCCAACCTTCGCCTCCCCGACACCGCCGCTGCAGGCACAAACTCGATTGCTCCGGTGGCTGCCGCGAGTGCAGAGGTGCAGCGGCTGCCAGAGGGTAACTTCAGGCTACTGCCAGAGCCCGCCGGCACCGGCAGCGCTGACTCCGGCGCACAGCCGTCCTGCCAGCTGCAGCTGCCGCCGCTGAGAGCCGCGCAGTTTGCACTGCAGCGGCAGGTGCGAGGATGCTGGCGCGACCTGTATGTGGTGCGGAACGAGCCGGCTTGCGACGCCGACATTGCCCAGGCCAACTGGTACAACTGCACCCACCCTGACGCGCGTTTTGTCTCCTCCTTCTTCGTCTCGCGCGTGGGCGGCGACGAGCGGCACCACATCGTCAATGGCGCCCACTGCTGCGGCCGCCAGAGAGACAGGCGGCCGCACCTGCGTCGGCTAACGAGGATCTTGCTCTTTACTAGGTTCATACATCTACCGACACAAAGACGGCATCGTGCTGCCCTCAATCCACCCCGAGATCCCGAGACGGGGCCGAGCGCTGGGCCTCAAAAATAGGCACGCTCGAGGAGGAGGAGCTAACCACGCGGCTACGCCTGCTGCGACTGCTCACTACGGTCTTTGGCATCCGGCTGCCAGAGGAGACGATCGGCATCGACCGATTTCTGGAGCCGGCGACCGACGCAGACTGAGACACGTGTTCCCAGGCCAGGTTGACGTGTTCCCAGGTTGACATGTGCAGGTTGACGATACGCAACACACATGAGGGGCCGTTTCGCGTTTCCCGCCTTTCCCCGATTTGCCATTTTCCGTTCCCCCCCGAGGCCGAGCCCCGTTAGCGTTACGACCAGTTTTGCATGCAAAGGTCTTGGACCAACCGCCCCAGTCCGATCTCAAGAATTCCTCACCTCGCGCCTCACTAATCGTGGGCTGTACGATACACGCGCGCTCGTGCCGCTGCGCGCTGGCGGCTAGAGCTGTTTAACATTAACTTTGGGCCTAACAGTTGCGCTAGTGTTGGCTGAAATCCTTAACGTTGTTCAAGTGTTCACCCCAGCCCATGCTGTTACTGTTTGTTACTGTTGTTACTGCTGTTCAGCGGCCAGCAAGCAGAAAACGGCAAAAAACCCGGGTAAAACCCGAAAATACCTGGGTTTTCCCGGGTATTTCGGGTATTACCCGCACTGGACGCTGGAGGTCGTCGTGGGTCACTGCCAGGCCTTCCTTATTGTTGTTCAGCCGGCCTAACGTTAGCTACTGTTGTTGGGGAGCCCCACTGTTGTTCTGTTGTTACTGTTAACACTAGCAACACTGTTCAGCTCCCAACGACCAACGTTAAACAGCTCTACTGGCGGCCGCGCCCGGCCGTCACGACTTTCGTTTCTTTGGCAAGTCTTTGCGCGGCGGGTGGGTCTACAAGGTGTGTGGACCGTGAGTTGACCAGGGGTTGTGCGCCGGGCCCTCCTGCTCGGCTCCAGCGAGTAGACAAGTGTTGTCATCAACAGAGGAGAAGGATATGACCTCAGGGCTGATGTGACCAAGCGCTGGTGGGGTAGCGTGGGTTTACCTCACACCCATGGTCTCACAGTGTGCCGGCAGTCGCCGCGCAGTGTCGCTCACACAAGCCGCAGCACAAGTGACTGAGGGCCAGCGAGGGCGAGCCCATCGCGGTGACAGCTGTGGCAGCCGCAGTGCCGCACAGTAGGCTGTGCCAACTGTGCAGAGCGTGAGAGCGTGCGTGAGCAGCAGAGGAGCTGCTCTCCAGGCTTCAGGCGCAAAGTCCAAAGAGCTGCATGCCACCGAAGGCGCTGTCGCCTGTCGAGGTTCGCCGAGCGCGGCGAAATCCGGGGACACCGTCACCGACGAGCGCGTTGGACTTTTCACTCCGGACAAAGACCGCTGCGGCACAGCGGACGGGGTGCGGGGTGTGTGCTGTCTAGAGCTGTTTAACATTAATTTTGGGCCTAACAGTTGCGCTAGTGTTGGCTGAAATCCTTAACGTTGTTCAAGTGTTCACCCCAGCCCATGCTGTTACTGTTTGTTACTGTTGTTACTGTTGTTCAGCGGCCAGCAAGCAGAAAATGGCAAAACCCCCGGGTAAAACCCGAAAATACCTGGGTTTTTCCGGGTATTTTCGGGTATTACCCGCACTGGACGCTGGAGATCGTCGTGGGTCACTGCCAGGCCTTCCTTATTGTTGTTCAGCCGGCCTAACGTTAGCTACTGTTGTTGGGGAGCCCCACTGTTGTTCTGTTGTTACTGTTAACACTAGCAACACTGTTTAGCTCCCAACGTTAAACAGCTCTAGCTGTGTCCCGCCGGGGCCGCCGTCATATAGCGGCGAGGCGCGGGACCGTCTATGGCGAGGTGGGTCGCGTCCCCGGATTTCCGTCAACTCACGGTCCACACCTCCACACACCACACCCTTTACACACTCGCTCTATTTTATTGAAACTGGTGTCGTTCTGACTTCTTTGTTGCGTGCCGGTCGACTCTCGGCGGCGCGCGATGTCCTCTGACGACTGACCTTTGCCGTACTGGTGCTGCGTGCGGCTAGATGAGGCTGCACCCCGGAGTCTCAACGTGTGTGTGCCGGACCGACGAATGTGCACCGGGAACGTGCGCTGTGTGCATGCGCGAGGCGGCACGCTGTCCGCGCGAAGGGCACCCACCGACGGCCAGCTGGCGCAGTGAGCTCAGTCGACGTTGAGCTCAAAGGACTCGAGCTTGACCCCATCCTTTGTGATAACGCACACCTCCATCGTGTCGCCCGTGTAGATGTCCCGCTCGCCCGCCGAGTAGAAGGCGTCCTTGACGATGGCAGTCGCCTAGTGGACGCGTCCCGGACGCGTCCCGCGCGGCGCAGGAAGGGGCGTCGCCGACGGCCGGCGTCGCCTCGGCCAAATCCTGGCCCACGCTCAGCGGCGGCGGCTTGGACGCGAGCTGCTGGTGCTGCCTCTCGAACTGGTTGTCAAGAAGCGGCTGGATCAGCGGCTCGCCTAGTGGACGCGAAGCGCGTAGGACGCGCGTAGGACGCGTCCTAAGCGTTCCCCCTCGGTCGGCGAGAGAGGCTGGCCACGAGCGGCTCGGGCTTGGGCGGCCTCGACGCTCCGGCGTGTCTAGGAGTGCTCAGGGAGTGTGGCTGCTGGGGTGTCTAGAGCGGCTCGCCCGAGCCGGTGACGTTGACGCGCACGCGCTCGTAGTTTCCGACTGGGTCGTACGAGTAGACACAGCCGACGCCGTTCTCATCCATGCCGGAGAGGATGTTCCACGTGTAGTAGGGGAAGAAGCGGCGGCCGTACAGCGTGTTTGCGAGCATCTGCGCAATCGCGTGCACCTGTGGGAAGGTTCCGCGATGTCTCCTGTAGGAAGGGCCCCATGAGCCGTTCCGAGATGTCTCCTGCCACGTGTCCACGTGTCAGACGGCGTGCCATCGGGGGAGGTGGTGGGGAGGGCGGAGGCGGGCTTGGCGGTGGAAGGGAGCGCGGAGGAGGCGACGGCGGAGGCGGCGACGGCGGAGGCGGTGAGGGAGGTGGTGGCGACGGTGGAGGCGGCGAGGGAGGAGGGGGTGATGGCGCGCGTGCAACCTTCATCGGCTCTCCGTGCTTGTGCTCATACTCGACGAGCTTCGCCTTGAGGAGCTTCTGCAGGGTGGAGACGTCGCCGCGGAAGCCGCCCGTCGCGAGAACCGTTGTCGCCGTCCTGCGAGGCGTGAAGGACCCGAGAAGGTCCCGTTAAGGTCCGGGGTCTGGTAGCGCGGCCCCTCAGGAGGGTGGCAGCAGGGGCGGCGCACAGCTGCAGCAGCTTGGACTGGTTGCGCGAGAGGATGTTGAAGCCGGAGCTCATCCGTGTGTCGCCCGCGACGATGGCAAAGTTGGTGCCAGCCACGGCGAGCACCGTCCTGGCAGAGCGCGCGAGTGCGTCAGCAGCCGACGCGCGGGGGGGGGGCATGTGAGGCCGAAAAGGCGCGGCGGCGCTCACCCCCCGTTGTGGTCGTACGGGTTGAATCGGCGCTCGTGCGGGCCGCGCACTCCAGCCTTGGGAGCAGCACTCAGGCGCAGCGGCTCGGTGCAAGACATGCTCGCCTGCAGCGGAAGAGCAAGCGTCTCGGAGAGCGTTCGCCCCAGCAGTCAGCCCACGGCCCCGCAGGTGACAGCGCGGCGCGGTGGCGAGGGCGCGAAGAGATTCGTGGGGAGTGGGCAGCGCGCGCTGGAGGCCGGCGTGAGTAGAGGGAGACTCGCTTTCGAGACGGCGGCGCGAGTTTTTCTTTTTCCAAAAGCCGAGTTTCGAGCATTCGCGACGAGAGGTTTACAGACCATGTATGTATGTGTGTAGGAAGGTGAATGTATAATGAAGAACAGTCAGTCAGGCTTTGGGGAATATATACTTTTCCGGCAAACAAAAAGGAAAAAGAGCTCAGAGTGTCCCTCAGAGGGAGAGAGGGTCCCCAGCACTTAGCGTTTCCGGAAATTTCAAGGGGAAACAGAGTTTGGTGCTCCATTCTGTTTCTCTCGAGTTTCCCTCCCGGGAAACTCGCGAGTTTCCCTGAGTTAGGGTGCCCACAGGGCCCAAAAAAAGAAAGGAAAAAAGAAATGGGCTGCCCCGATCGCAGCACTTCGTGTTGGCCAGTCGAGATATTGAGAGTGTGACTAGGAGGGTGGGACGCTGGGGATTCTCAAAGGTATACCCTTGGAATGGCCGGATCCAGCCTTGAAAGTACGAGATCGCGCGCGCTTCGCGCGCTGCACCGCCTATTCTCCGCGGCTGTGTGACGACGCGTGCCGTGTGCCAGCAGAGTTGGGCGCGCGCGGCGCGACGGCGCCCGCGAGGGAAGGCGCGGGTGCAGCGGCCGCCGGCGGCCGTACCGCCCGCCAGCCGGCGCAGCAGCGGCCAGCGCAGCGGCCGCCGGCGCAGCAGCCAGATAGCCGGTGCGCGCCTTGCGAGGCGAGTACTGCCGCCCGGCAGCCTTGAGGCGGCCGGGCGGCAGTACTCGTTCGAACTTTGCGAGCCGTGCGCGCGCCGAGGCGCCCGCGGCGCGCGCCCGCCCGGCTGCCAGTAGGAGGCGGCGCAATATGGCCTATAGTACAGCCCTTGAGGAGGAGGAAGAGGCTGGGGCAGTGCTGTATGCCGCCGAGGGGCAGTTTTGGGGTGCTGACCCACGCCCAGGGGGCTGCAGAACGCGTCCGCAGCCGGGACAATTCGCCCCCCCAGCCGAGGCCGGTCGAAGCCCACTTGACCACAGCCATGAGGAGTCCTCTTGGTGCTCCTGGCGGCCGTTGGAATGGCGAGCGCGCGCCGATGGGGGGGGGGGGGGGGGGTCTTGCTTGCTCCACACCGAGCGCCATCGGTCCGGACCGGCGTGGTCACCGAGGGGTGGCCTGCACAAGGTCTGAGCCGCGGGCGCTCGGCGCCAAGTGCAGTGTCACGCTCGCGCTGGAGCGGGTCACAATGGGAAACCCTCGTTTCCTATGAACTCGGTCCCCCAACGGAAGAGGCCTCGCTCCTATTGGAACTGGCCAACATCAGATTTGCCTCGTGCGTCCCTTTTTGAGCAGGAAAGCTATTTTCTTTTGGGTCCTGTGGGCACCCTACCTGAGTCTGAGAGCTGGCTGGTCTGGGCCGCCGCAGTCTGGGGCAAAATCTGAGGCAAAATTGAGGAAAGCAAACTACGCGGGTATTTTCCATGTACCATGAAAAAGTTAGTATACCCGCACAATACAAGAAACTCAAAATGCCGGTATTTTGCCGATTTTGCTGATTTTGGCCCCAAAACAGCCTCAGAGTCAGACTCAGCTCAGAGCCCAAAAAATGACGAGTTTCACGCCCTGGATGTGAGGCTAATGACTGCACTCCAAGTGCTCCAAGTTCACGGAGTTTGAAGAACTCCGGCTGGTAGTCGACAAGCTGCCGAGCCCAAATCACTGTCTGTGACACATTTCTTGTTGGCTTCTAAAAATCTCAAGATCTCTCTCTCTGTCAAAAATCTCTCTCTCTCGGAGTTTTCCGAAAACAGAGAGGAAAAGAAATAAGAAAAGGAAATAAGAGACGGGGTGCGAGAGGAAAAGCTTATACAGCCTGACGAACGATATTTTCCTGCTTAGCGCGATTTCCGTCAAACCAGTTTACCCAGTCTCCCACAATTCGTGTTTCAGCTTACCCGGTCGCTAAAATTTGTCATGTCAGATTACCCGGTCGGCCAAATTTCTCGTCCAGATTACCCGGCAACGATGTTTTCCTGCTCAGCAGCAATTTCATCAAAAAACTGAGAACCAGTTTACCCAGTCTCCCACAATTCACGTTTCAGCTTACCCGGCCGCTAACTTTTCTCATGTCAGATTACCCGGTCGGCCAAATTTCTCGTCCAGATTACCCGGCGGCTAACTTTTCTCTTTGAGATTACCCGGGCGCGCAAATTTCTCGTTTCAGCTTACCCGGACGCGAGCGTGCACCTCGTCCAGAGTGCAGAGAGCGAGCACCTGCGGCACTTGGTCCTAAGGGGTCCCGTACCATGCGGAATCGACCCTATCCGGTGCTCAAGTGCTCAAGGAGAGCTCCCACTCGGAATCCCGGAATCCCCGGCCTCGTTTGCTTGAATGACGCAGTCGTGAATCCCAAACGGTTTCAGATTACCCGCGGCGCATCCCACTACCGGGTGATCTGGAAAAAGAAATTTCACCTGCCGGGTAACCTGGAAACGACATTTCGCCGTGTTGGGTAACCTGGAAACGACATTTCGCCGTGTTGGGTAATCTGGAAACGACATTTCGCCGTGTTGGGTAATCTGGAAACGACATTTTGCCGCACCGGGTGATCTGAAACCGCTCACGCCGGGTGATCTGGAAAACGCCGGGTGATCTGCGAGGCGAAGCTCAAAACCGGGTGATCTGGAAAAAGAAATTTCGTGACCCGGGTAACCTGGAAACGACATTTCGCCGTGTTGGGTAATCTGGAAACGACATTTCGCCGTGTTGGGTGATCTGCGAGGCAAAAACTCGCAGACGCCGGGTGATCTGAAAAACGCCGGGTGATCTGCGAGGCGAATCTCAAAAACCGGGTAATCTGAAATTTATCCTCAACAAAAAGAAAGAAGATGGCGCGGGCGCTGGCGCTGTCCTCCTATCCGGCGGGCGCCCATCATCCAAACTTTAGACGGCCGTTCAGAAGCTCCGCCGGTCAGATATCTAGATAACAAGATCGTGCGCGTACACCGAAGAGTTGTGCTGAGGGCATCTCGGGGGGGGCAATGCGACGGCGCTAGGTATGCCGCCGCCCCCGAGGGCGTGTGGCGCGTGCAAGACGTCTCGGAAGAGATGCGACTACGACGAGCGGATCGGCGGGAAGTGCTCCCGCTGTGCCCGAATTGGACTCCCCTGTGAGCCCGCGGTGCCGTCCAAGCACGGGCCGTCATGCCCGGCTGGCCGGCAGCCAGCATATGCAGGGGCGCCCTCGGCCCAGCGCAGGGGCATTGTCAAAGTGCCAAACGTCGAGACGGGCCCCTCGGACTCCCAGGCCCTCCTCGAGCAGCTGCATGTCATGAACCAGACTGGCCGCTCTCTCGATGGCAGCCTGCTTCCGTCGATCACGGTGTCTCCTCATCCGAGCGCGCTGGGAGGGCTGCGGCCCGCGCATCCGCCGCCGCAGATGTATGTGCCGCTTCCAGGCGGCCCGCCCCTGCCCCTGCAAACCCCTGCTCAAACGTGCCCGCCACCCACGGTGCGCCCTGCAAAGCAGCCGAGGCTAACTCCGCAGCCGCAGCCGCAGCCGCCGCCGCCGCAGCCAGCGCAGTCGGAAGAGCCACTGCAGCAGGGGCAGCCACTGCAGCAGGGGCAGCCACTGCAGCAGGGGCAGCCGCCGCAGCAGGGGCAGCCGCCGCAGCAGGGGCAGCTGCCGCCAGGCCAAGGGGGACAGCCGCCGTCGCTTCCAGCGCAGCAACCCCCGCCTCAGTCAGCGCAGCATCCTCTGCCACAGCAGGCCCCTGAGACTGGTGATCCGAGCCAGCAACCGCTTCAAACGGCACAAGCGCAAGCGCAAGCGCAGCCGCCGCCCGCCGCACAAACTCCGCCTCCGCAGCAGCAGCTTCATACCGGTCAGGCGCAAGACCCGCCAGCACAGCCACAGTCGTCACAGCCGCCGCGGCCTCAGCTGCCGACGCCAGTACCGCCGCAGCTCTCGCCACAGCACGTGGTCCCTCTGCAGCCGGCGCAGCTACCACAGCAGCAGCTACTGCAGCCGCTGGTGGCTCCCTACCCGACGGCCGCGGCGGAGGTCGGGGTGGTGGCGCAGGAGGGCTCTGCTCCTGCGTTCCCTCACTACGGGCAGCCGCCTCGGGCCCACGTCTTGCCCGTGGCGCACCATCCTGTCTGGCAGACCACCCACCCGCAAGTGGTGTCGCAGATGAGGCCGTCCGCCATTCCACCAGGCGCGCCGCCCGCGAACTGTAATATCCACACAGCACGCACCAATGCCCGAAGCCTACAATCCACCCTATTCTTCCTCCCCCTCCGCCCTTCCGTACTCCCTCCCTCTCGCCCCCCTCTCTGCTTTCTCTTGCTCCCCGACCTCCCTTGCAGCCCCCTCCAACCCTCCGCGCAGGCATGATGCCGATGCAGCTAATGGTGGTTCAGCAGCCGGGCATGCCCGGGATGGTGCAGCAGCATGTCCTCGTCCCTCCAGGCATGTTGCCGCCACAGCAGCTGCAGCCTGTCGTGCTGCCGCCTCAGCAGACGCCGATAAGGATGCAGGCCGTCGCGGGTGAGCTGATCTCGGCCTTATCTCTGCAACACCCCGGCTGCAGCTTCGCTGATCTCCCTAAACCTTGAGACATGCACATCCCGGCTGTACCTCGGCTCAACTGCCTGCCTATCGCAGGTGGGATCGCACAGCAGCCGCCGCAGCAGCCGCTGCAGCCGTTGCACGGCCAAGGATTTATCGCAGCGCCGCTACAGCTACAACATCCGCACTATCCACAACCACCGCAGCTGCTACCAGGTGCGAGACCCTTCCTCTTCAGAGTCCCGCATCCCCCCCCCCCCCCCCGGGCCGGGTTTTTCAAACACCTTGGGGTTTTTGTTTGCCCGCTTTTTGCATTGGGATTCCTGGCCCCTTTCCCTCCATGCCCCCCCTTTTGAATCCCCCCCCCCCCCCCCCCCCCCCCCCCGGGCCACAGGCGTACCACACCAGCCGCACCAGTCGCACCCGCACCAGCCGCACCAGCCGCACCCGCACCAGCCGAATCAGCCGCAGCAGCTGCAGCCGAGCGTTACGCCCCCGCCACAACAGTGTGTCGCGCCGAGGCAACAGCTCGTTGCGCCGCCGCAGTGTTCCGCACCGCCGCTCGAACTGGCAGGGGCGAGTGCGGTAGCGCCGCTGCTTGCGCCAGTAGTACATGATGCGGGATGGGTCCCAAATGTTGAGGCTGGCCCGGGCGAGGCGTCGGATGAAGTTCCGTCCTCTCCGGACCCAGCTGACGTGGCCGCGACCATGCTTGGTTTGCGTCAGGCGTCGTTCCTTTCCTCCGGCTCCGCACCGCACGTTGCGAGTTGAGAGACAGAGCTCGGAGAGAGTAGTCCACCTTCACGCTTCAAGTGTTCGAAAGTCTGTGGAGGACGAGACCGGACGAGGCGGTGCTACTTTTATGAGTGTGTCGGTTTTGGACGTGAGATGGCTGTGTGAGATGTTGGAAAGATCGTGGTTGGAAAAAGTGTGTTTGCTGTTAATGACTGCACTCCAAGTGCTCCAAGTGTTTGGAAAACAGGGCTCAGGGGCCGAGGCCGCGAGGGGGGCGTGGCGCTCTGCTGGCGGGTGCCCGCGTGCCCCATCTTGTCTCTCTCGCTCGCGCTTCTTTCGGCTTTCGCCACGTTGCGATGTGGGGGCAAGACTTATGTGTGACTGCGCCAGACACTCGGCTCAAAATTGTGACCTATCCGACTCTCTGCCGCTTTCCCGCGTCCGCCTGCTGCTGCTGCTGCTGCTGCTGCTGCTGCTGCGGCGGCGGCGGCGGGGGGGGCGGGGGGGGGCCAGCGGCAGCTGCGGCACTCATCTCGCGCGTGTATGCCGCGACGTACGAAACGAGCCGTGTTGCCTCCCACGTCCTGTCCGGGGGGGGCAACTGCCTCTCCTTTGTCGGGCGGAAGCGGAGGACCCAGTTTGAGGCCTGTTTTGAGGGCGTTGGGGGGGGGGGGGGGGCTGGGACGAGCGTTGTGGGGTGCATTGCGTATGCGACTCTACTGATCCGGAGCAGGAGAGGCGGTGAGGTGCGGGCCTCCAACGCGACCGCGTTGGACTTTGCCAGCGTCCGCTGCGCATTCGGCAGCGGCGCGTCGAAACCGTACTTGACGCGAACCTGTCGGGGCAATGTCGTAGCACATCACCTGCCCTGCCCTGCCAAGGCCGTACTGCCGCTACTGCCCTGCCCTGCCGTCCCCTACCTCCTCTGCCGTGAAACCCACACCGCCGCGCCCTGCCCTGCCCATACTGCCTGCCGCGAAGAGCTCGCCCCCAGGGAAGGCGAATCCTCTATACACGTTTCACGCATATGGACGGGTCGGGAGTGACGTTGTGTGCTGGCACTGCGGGTCTCTGCCGCACTGCAGCATGGCGCGGACCTGCCTGACTGCAGGCGGTCCCACGCCTGGCGTCATCGAGAGGGCGAGGTACTCGAGCTGCTTAAAGACACGGCCTACCGCAGCCGCGCGAGAGATCTCCCCAGATCTCCGCATATCTCCCCAGATCTCAGCCGCGCGAGGTGTGCGGGGGGGGCGGGGGGGGAGGGCGACCCGAGATGCCACTCTCTGCTACTGCTGTGGCGGCCAGCTCCTCCCGGCGTCGGGGCGTGTCGGTGGAGGCGCGAGTGGGCGCGTCAGTGGCGGCGCGAGTGGGGCACTTGGAGTGGGGCGTGGATCAAGTGGGGCGAGACGACCGCCGCGTGGAGCATCGGGTCTCGGGCAAGAGTGGCTGTGTCTGGCTACGTGAGTTCAGGTACTGTGGGGGTATGGTGTGGGTTCGGGTACCGTGGGTGTACGGGATGAGTGGCTGTGTCCGGCTACTTCGCCGCTGCCGTACGGCGAGCCGTCCTCGATGATTGCCACAAGCTTCCCCACACCCGTGTCCGTGATCCGCGTGTTTGAGAGCTCGAGCCACCGCAAGTCGGAGACGCCGCGCGCGCCTACCCAGTCAGTCAGTCGGTCAGTTGTGACACACGTCCCTACCACGGACACGGGGCACACGCACTCGCGGAACACACACACGGGGCATTGGGCTTAGCGGGTTCGAGCGCCGACGCACATTGGCTGCCGGGGTGTGCCGACGGGGAGGTTGGGACTGGGTGGGCGCTAAGCCGTCATCGCCGGGCGCTGCTCGCAGCGCTCTGGGTGGTGGTGGCGGCGCTCCAAGAGTGGCGCTCTTGGGAAGTGGTTCCTCCTCTCCGCCCCCGCCCCCGCCCCCCCCCCAAGGCGCGAGACACAAACACGTTCTAGAGATCGTCGAGGGGAGCTGCGCTCGTGGGGCCGGGCAGAGCGGTCGAGAGCAGGGCGCGCCGTCGGTGTTTGCCTCGGGAAAGCGCGTGTAGTAGGTGAGGTAGTCTAGCGCGGCGTCGGTGACCTGGACAAGCGGAGCACACGTGAGCATGCTCCGCTCCGGCGTCGGGCGGGCGTCGGCGCGGCGTCTGCGGCCGAGGTGGACGCGAGGGAGAGGCGCTGCAGCCGGCGGAGCGGGAGGAGGGACGCGACGCCGCGGTCCGTCAGCCCTCCCAGCCCGGTCAGATTGAGCGAGGTGAGGCCCGGGCAGCCAGCGAGGTGCCCCGCTGCGCGGTCGCCCAGCTCTGTCCACGAGACGTCGAGGGCCTGGAGCCCAGAGAGGCGCGGGAGCTGCGCGGAGCCGCTGTCGGTGAGGAAGCGGCAGAGAGTGAGGCGGAGCGAGGCCAGCCCGTCCAGGTAGGCGAGCGCACCGAGCGAAGCGTCCGTGATCCAGCGACCGCCGTCGGAGAGGTCCATCTCGGACGCACGCCACACGTCACGGACGAGCGGGAACATGAGCGCGCACGGCATCGGCGCCGCCGGCGCGTCGTGGTCTCCCGCCGCAGCCTGAGGGAGACAGCGGGTGGGGACTCTCCGCGCGGCGTGGCGGGAAGTGAGAGCGTAGTGAGCGCAGACCTGGTGCTCCAGTGCGTGGTTCGCCTTGAGCTGCTCCCACACCAGACGCGAGAGCTCCAGCGGGAGGCATGAGAGGCTGCGCGACGGGTGCCATGATCGGCAGAGCTCCAGCAGGGCGAGGCGGGCGAGCGTCTTCGAAGACTCCGCCATGCGCACACAGGGCTCCGGTGAGGGAGAAAATTCTTTTCTGGTCTCCCCCCCCAAAGCGGGTTTCCCACTCCTCTCTTCGCCCCCCCCCCCCCCCTACCTACCTATTGCGGGGCCCTCTGGGTCAAAACCGGACCTACCTACCTATTGCACAGGGTTAGTTAGTTATTTTATAATCGAGGTAGTTAGTTAGGAAGGTGAAGAACAGGGTCTAACGGGTGGACAGACCGCCTAACAGGAACACACCCCCTATCTGGGTAGGAGCCGGAACCCGAATTTGGAAAGCTCTGCATCAAGTATACAGTAGGCTCTACAGCACGGCCCAGAGTGCGAAGTATCCTCTCCGTCCCGTGGATAAGACATAAGTAAGACAGGGTGCCACAGGGCCGGGGAACGCTAAAACTAGGCTTACTAGGCGCCTACGGGCTACGCTATCTACCGCTCCTTCCCTAGGGGCCCAGTAGGTGACAAACAAACGCACCCTACTCACCTGGTACACACTCAGTCCGCTCAAGCCCCTTCCTAGGGGCCCAGCCTCCCGATCTCAGGGTGCGTCTCCGGCTCGCCTCGGATGCGCCCCGTGGCATGTTGCCGTTACAGAATTACTCTCCGGGCACGGTCAAAGACGGTCGCGGGAAACTCGGCCCGGGGGCTAGGAGGCGCACACGCGTACGATGCTTCTAGCCCCGTGGACGTGTAACGTTGCCGTCGGCGCAATGGTCCTCGTCTTCGCGGCCGCGGAGGCACTCCTACTCGCAGCGAGTGGCGCATCTTCTTGGCTGCTGGGTGCGCTGGCTCCGCGCTTCGGTGCGGCCTCGGGTCAGCGATTCAGCAAGGCGGCCCACCCCCGCACGCGCTGGAGCTGCGGCGCCGTGGCCTTGCTCCTGCTGCTCTCCTCCGCTCCGGCGTCCTCCGCTCCGGCGGCTCGGGCTTCAGTCTCGCCACCGTCCCAGCCATTCCCGCCGCTGCCGCCGTCCCCGCCGCTGTTGCCGCCGCTGCCGCCGTTACAGCCCCCGTCGTTCTCGGTCTCAGCTGGCGACGGCTGCAACATACAGGGCGACTGCGTCAGCTCTTTGAACTACCCGAGCAACTATGGCACTTTCGAAAACGCGGTCGAGTCCGATCTCTTCTCCGACTGGCGGCCACGCTGCGCCGCCCCTGCGTGGCACGCGAAGCCTCATCACGCGCTCACCGACGAGCTCTACAAGACCGACAAGCCGCCCGCGGGGGCCCCGCAGGCCGACGAGCTCTCCATCGACGTGCCCTCCCCGTTCCACGTTCCCTTCATGAGCGGACAATCCTCGTCTGCGCCTGGCCGCTCCCAGCAGCGCGGTCAGCTTTGTGCCGCCTTGTTCTTGCTGCTCGTAGCGTGCGGCGGGCTGCTGAGGGAGTGGATGTGGCCGCCGGGTTTCGGTGCGGCCTCGGTGCGGCGGAGCAGCTCGGGGCGCCGGAAGGGGGCCTGGCTGCTTCTCGTCGCGCTGCTCCCGCTGGCATGTGCACCGCGTCCGCCGCCGTCGCCGCCGTCGCCGCCGTTGCCACAGTTGCCGCCGCCGCTGCCCCCGCTCGTCCCCGGCGAGGCTTTCGCCCACACGCCTGAAGACATCCGGGACGAGATCAACAACGCCACAGCCGAGAACCGCAACGCGAGCGTCTACATCCCGCCGGGCGTCCGCCTTGCCTTTAGCAGCAACGTCGAGTGCAGCGGCGAAATGCACCTCTCGGTCCGGAGCAGCGGGGAGGGCGCGACGCTCGACGGCAACAAGAGCTCCAACATGTTCGCACTCTCGAGCGGCTGCAGCCTCTACCTGGAGGTGCTACACTTTGTGGACGGGCTTAGTGGTGATTATGGCGGTGCGGTGCGCGCGTCTGGCGCTGGCGACATTGCGATGAAGGACGTGTCCTTCACGGGCTGCGAGGCCAGCGGGGTGCGCCGCCCCTCTCTCCCACGCACCGCTCGCCACATAAAGAGAAGCAAGGAATGCTGCGAATGCCCCTTAAGGCCATCTTAGTCGCATGCCTCCCCCATGCCTTGTGGCTAGCCTGAGCAGCCCCAGCCCGCTGACGCCCCGCTTGCACTGTCGCCCTCGCGCAGTACGGAGGAGCTATGTACGTGTGGAACAGCGGCGACGTCTCGCTCGAGGGGGCCAGCTTCAGCGAGTGCACGGCTGGCACTGGGCTTGGGATGGCACACGGGGCACGCTTTCGCCAAAGGGCCACACTCAAGGCCTGCCCGCCCTCTGCTAACGCCCTCCCAGCTAATCAAATGCCTGCCCGCCCCAACTCGCGCAGAACGGAGGAGGTATGTACGTGGGCAGCAGCGGCGACGTCTCGCTGAAGGGCGCCAGCTTCAGCGAGTGCACGGCTGGCGAGGTGCGTCACGCCAAGGCAGAGGGACATGGGGTGGCAAACGGGGCACGCTTTCGCCAAAGGGCCACTCACTCAGGGCCTGCCCGCCCTCTCTCGCTCGCTGTACGCCCTCGCCGCTTAATGCCTGCCCGCCCCAACTCGCGCAGTACGGAGGAGGTATGAATGTGTACAACAGCGGCGACGTCTCGCTGGAAGGCGCCAGCTTCAGCGAGTGCACGGCTGCCCTGGTGCGTCTCCCACGCCCGCACACGCTTTGCTACGCCGTCGCACTCGCCGCCGTGCGGCCGTACAAGCGGGTCGGCGACGATGTGCTAGCCGTCGCGACCAGTCTCGTGCTCCTCCTCCTCTTCCTTGGCGCCAACTGGACCACCATTTTTCTCGGCATTGAGGAGCGGCACCCCGACACAGCGGAGGCCGCCGCCACCCTCGGGTTCGGCAAGCTGAACGGCGTCGTCAACTCGATGCTCGTCCTCGTCGCCGTCGTCGCCCTCTTCTTCCTCATTGGCGCCGTCGTCGCCGCCCGCCGCGTCGCCATGATCCCCACGATCCGGCTTGCCTCGACCAAGCAGCCCCCCGAGCTGAGCATCGTGCTCGGCCTCACGTGGCACCTCTTCAACAGCCACATCTGGTGAGTCGTGGAGCGAGAGCAGGGAACAAAAAACGGCCCGCGTCATTCCCGCCCCTTGCCCAAACGAATAGGTCGACCGGTCAAGACGCCGTAAAGGTCATCAAGGGTGAGCTCAAGCAGCTGCTGCCGGATGTCAAGATCTTTCTCGACGCGCGCAGATGCTCAGCCGCGCTAGTCAAACACACAGAGCACCGCTGACGCTCCGCGGTGTGCGCGCAGGTAGATGATCTCAAAGACATTGGGGCGCTCGAGGAGTACATCCAACGGTCGCAAGTCGTCCTCTTCTTCCTCTCGAGGGGCTACTTCCGCTCGCAGGCGCGCCCCTCCAACGCCGCCACCGCCGCACTCTGGCCTCACCTCCCGCTTCCCGCGCCACAGAACTGCCTCCGAGAGGTCCGCTCGTCGCTCGAGATGGACAAGCCGCTCGTCCTCGTCCAAGAAGCGGACCCTGAAAAGGGAGGCGGGACGTTGCAGGCGCTGCGCGACGAATGCCCTGAGGACTTGCAGCCCGCCATCTTTGACAAGGACTGGCCGCTCACGATCTGGTATCGCAGCGATGAGTTTCAGCTCATCTCGCTCAAGATTATCGCCGAGGCGCTGCGGGCCACAGCCAGCCACTCCGCAGTCCTCTCTATCTCCCGACCGACCCCATTTGAGCAACAGGCGGTGCTCCTCTGCTCGCCCAACTATCTGAACAAGACCTCCCTGCCGCTCTGCGTGTCGGGCGAGCTCGAGAGCCAGTCGCTCGCCTTTTCCAAACAGACCACGGTCTGGGCCTCGCCAGCCAACCCAGGCGCCGCAGAGTTGGCCTGCGAGCTTGCCAACGCCTTTCGCGGCCTCACCGTCTCTACCGTTGCGGACGTTGGCTCTTCATCTGCATCAGCGCGCCCCTCCATGGCACTTCGCGGGTTGGCACGCCGAACGCGCCGCCCCGGCAAGGCTACCCACATGCTGTTGTACCTCAATCATAATACTTGGTTAGAGGACGACGGCGAGCGGCTGGCCGAGCACGTCAAGCAGGCGCGGGAAGACAAGCTGAAGATCGTCATGGCGCACGAGAACGACCCGGACCTCGGCGGTTGCCAGTTCTCGAGAATGTTTGAAGTCACGCCGCAGGAGCGGGCTCGCGGAGTAGAGAGCGCATGCTCTCCACCGCCCAATCTCAGCTCCCGCCCCCCCCAACCCTCCGACGCCGCAGGAGCTCATCGCCGGCGGACTCTACAAGGACCTCGCAAAATCCTGCTTCCCGGGGCGCCACCGCAAGGCGCGCGTTCTTTCTCACCCATTTGTGCGCATCGAGTTCCTTGACGAGGGGCTGTCCCTCTCCACAGGTGTCGTTCGTGCTTCTGGCAAAGAGCCTCGGCGCGACCCCCGCTCGGTCGCGGGCGGACCTCCTTTCGGACAGCATCGTCGAGGGCAGCACCAGCCTCTCGAAGCGCAGCTCTGGCGGCCTCAGCCGGGTGTTCGCCAACATGAGCAGCCGCAGCTCTGCGGAGGCGCGCGACGTCTCTGGAGGCGAGGTGTCGTCGGTGCAGCGGCAGGTCTGATCGGCTGCGAGGCGAACGGATCTCACACGTTAGTACAAAGGTCGCGCACAATGAAACTTCACGTGTGTGGGGGGGGGGGGGGGCATGCCTCGCCACCTTGTGATTTTTGGGTCAAAATCGTCCCGATTTCATAATGTTCGTTCGTACGTGCATCCGCGGCGCCCAGCGCGGTGCCAGCGGCTCCCATACCTCTAAGAGGCCACCCACCTCCGTATAGACCCTTATATCCGCGGTTTACGCCCAATAGAGGCAGCTGCAAGAGGGCCCGGACGGGCACTGCGGCACACACTGCTCGCTGCTCGGCCATGCGGTAGCGTCTGGTGATGCCGCCCCTGCGCGGGCGGGGGCGTCTCGCTCGGCAGCAACTGCGCCGCGCAGCGCAGGTTCGAGGGTCGCGGTGGAAGGGTGCACTGGAAGACGTAGCGGTCGAGAAAGCGCTCAGCGACCGCTACGTCTCGAGGATGGAGCCGTCGCGCGGACCCGACCGGCCGACCGGCAGTAGCAGCAGGCGCCGGAGGGCGCGGGAGGCAGCGGCGACACCTCGGGCCAGAAGCGCGAGCCCTAGGCTGGTGAGGGGGCCCGCTCATGCGTAAACGGCTCTGGGACTTAGCTAAATCGCGCATCGAAATCGGGACGATTTTGCCAGGGCACCGTCACAAGGTGCCGTTTTTTCGCTTCTGACGAATTCGAGTAACGTTGCGTATGATACTAGGGTGCCCACAGGACCCAAAAAAAGAAAGGAAAAAAGAAATGGGCGAGCCTCGATCGCAGCACTTCGTGTTGGCCAGTCGAGATATTGAGAGTGTGACTAGGAGGGTGGGACGCTGGGGATTCTCAAAGGTATACCCTTGGAATGGCCGGATCCAGCCTTGAAAGTACGAGATCGCGCGCGCTTCGCGCGCTGCACCACCTGTTCTCCGCGGCTGAGTGACGACGCGTGCCGTGTACCAGCAGAGTTGGGCGCGCGCGGCGCGACGGCGCCCGCGAGGGAAGGCGCGGGTGCAGCGGCCGCCGGCGGCCGTACCGCTCGCCAGCCGGCGCAGCAGCGGCCAGCGCAGCGGCCGCCGGCGCAGCAGCCAGAGCAGCCGGTGCGCGCGCCTTGCGAGGCGAGTACTGCCGCCCGGCAGCCTTGAGGCGGCCGGGCGGCAGTACTCGTTCGAAATTTGCGAGCCGTGCGCGCGCCGAGGCGCCCGCGGCGCGCCGCGCGCGCCCGCCCGGCTGCCAGTAGGAGGCGGCGCAACATGGCCTATAGTACAGCCCTTGAGGAGGAGAAAGAGGCTGGCTGGCAGTGCTGTATGCCGCCGGGGGGCAGTTTTGGGGTGCTGTCCCCATCCCAGGGGGCTGCAGAAGGCGTCCGCAACCGGGACAACCCGCCCCCCCAGCCGAGGCCGGTCGAAGCCCACTTGAGTGCAGCCATGAGGAGTCCTCTTGGTGCTCCTGGCGGCCGTTCAAAGGTCGGGCGCGCGCCGATGGGGGGGGGGGGGGTCTGTGCAAAAGAGTGGCGAGGGCCGGGGTGTTGTTCACACCTGTCCAACCAAGAAGCGGGCCACCGCTTCCTTCGAAGCCAACCCGATGGCAGCTCCGGTACATATCGTGTTCACCAGCGAATGCAACAACACGCAGTTCGACTGGTTCGCAGTTGGCGTCTTCGAGTCCTTCCGAGCATCCGGCTTCCACGGAAACATAACCCGACTTCTCGCGTGCAGCGCCGAGGCACGCACGCACACACGCACACACGCACACACGCACACGCACACCGCACACGCACACGCACGCACGCACGCACGCACGCTAGCGCACAAGCGCACGTCTCTGCGCCGAACCCTGAGCTGGGGCCCTAAGGCGCTCGCGTCGTACAAGGGCATGTCGATCGGCGAAGGCGTCGGCCGCACCTTTGTCCACCCAAACTACCGCCACAACCCGCTCAACGGCGACGTCTCGGCCTCGTACAATAAGCCAGCCTCGGTGATGCACTGGTCTTCCGAGGCGGACTTCACCGAGGAGTTTGTCCTCTTCATCGACGCCGACATGCTCCTCCTCAAGCCAATCGACCCCGTCGCGATGGGCGCAAAGCGCGGCACCGTCGTCTCGGAGCGAGTCTCCTACATGATCGGCACGTCGAACAAGCTGGCCGCGCAGTTCCTCCCGCCAGAGGCCGTGCCCAAGGCCAAGCCCGTGGGCTGGTATCACATCTTCCACCGCGACGACCTGCGCCAGATTGCGCCGCGCTGGCTGCACTACTGCGGGCGCGTGCGCACCGAGCCGGGGCGGTACTGGCGCCTCAACGGGACGGGCGAAGACATCCCGACGGGTCGACGCTTCCCGGCGCAGCATGGTCGCCGACCGCACCATGAGAGCGTGCCCTATTTGTTTAGGCGACGCATATGTGCAGCGCGGCCAGGCGCCGTGGATCGAGAGTACGGCGCGTCTCGGACATGTCCACGACATGTCCATCACCTGTCTCACAGGCGCCGTGGATCGAGAGTACGGCGCGTCTCGGACATGTCCACGACATGTCCATCACCTGTCTCACAGGCGCCGTGGATCGCCGAGATGTACGGCTACGCTTTCGGCGCTCGGTCAGATGCCGACATTCGCAGCGACGCGCTAGAAACCTTTCGCGGCTCTGAAGGCCGGCCGACTTCTCCTCGCCTCGCTCCACGCGGCAAATGCCTGCCTGCTAGGAGTTCCCCATTGTGATGTTACAGATGGGTGAAGAGGGCGATTCGCACGAGCTGCGGGACCGCCGGGACGGCGGGCGGGTGATTGCGACTCGCCGCCACTTTTGGCGACTCTTGGGGAATTCCTAGGCGCCGCCGAGGTTGGGGTGGAGCACGAGGTCACGCGCGGCGTGGTGGCGTACCCGAGCGAGCTGAGCTTCGGTGCGCCTCGCACACGCGGGACGGGAGCCACAGCGGGCGGGGCGAGGCTTTGCGTTCGCAGCTGGGATCGGGGCTCGGACCGGCCAGAGACAGCCGGCCCGCCCCAGCCGGCATCATGAGGGGAAGGGGGGGGTGGGGAAGGAGGAGGGGATGAAGGCGGAGAGGAGGCGCCCACCGCCGCCTCGCCCTCGCGCATAAGGCGAGCCTTACATCGTGCACTACGGCATCGACTTCAACATCGGCTCCGACTACAACTGGAACAAGATGGTCTACAAGAAGCTAGACCTCTCCAGCTGCCGCCGCCGCTTCTTCGGGCCGCCGCCGCGGCCGGCCAACGCCCGTCAGCGGCTCGGGGCGCACGTGGTCCGGACGCTGAACGCGGCCTTTTGTGGCTACTACCGGACGCACTGCCCTGGCCAAGAGGCACTCCTGTGCCCTCCCGAAGAGCGTCCGCCCTTCGACCCCGCGGCAGCGAGCGCTTCAGGCGCGGCGCCGAGCTTGCGCCGCGCGAGGCGTGTCCGCCAGGCGCGCTCTCACGGCCGCGCGGGCTTCCCCTCCCCAGGCTGCGCTGACCTCCACGGCAGCTGCTGGTCGTGGGCGCTCGACGACCAGTGCGCCACCAACCCCGGATTCATGAACTCGACTTGCGCGCTCTCCTGCGAGCGCTGCCCGCCGCCACCGCCGTCGCGTTCGCCTCGGCCGCTGCCGCCCGCCGCCGAGAACCCCGCCGCCGCCACTGCCGCCGCCGCCGCCACCGCCGCAGCCGCCGCCTCGCCGCCCGCCATGTGCGAGAAGGAGAAGCCGTGTAGCGCCGATGCGCGGCCAGCCGGCGCTGCCGATGCCGCCGCGTCGCCACCTCGCGACGGTGCTGCGTCGATTGCGGACGCCCCGCCGCTGCCACCGCCACCGCCACCGCCGCCCCTCTCGATCGCCAAAGGGCACGCCGATGAGGGCCCGAGGCTGCGACGGGCGGTTGCAGAGGCGGAACGCGCCCCATCGGCATCCCTGACGCCCGACGCGGCGGAGGCGCTTGCACGCCTCGAGGGTGCGGGGGACGTGAGGCGGCCCGCGGCGTCAGACACCACACCCGCGGCCATGGACAACTTGGCGAGGGTGGGTGGCAACGGCGCGTGGCGGCCGCGCGCGCCACTTGAGGCTTCCCCCGCGCAGCACCCTTCCCCCGTTTGGCGGGTAGGCGCTCCGAGGCCGTCGCTGCTGGCTCCACTCTGGAAGGCGTCCGCGAACCGGTCCGGCCGCTTCCTCAACGCGCCGCTGTGGAGCCACGCCCCCGCTGATCCGGACTCGCGCCTCCATCCGGCGCTCAAGGCCCGCCCAAGGCGCGATCGCGGGTCGGTGCCGCGGCCACGCTTGCCCGGCGCGGCGACGGTGCTACACGACGAGGCACTCCACTCGGACGAGGAGGGTCGCAACTTGGCGGCCGTGTCCATGCTCCCGTGGCTCCTCCTGTGCGGCGGGATGGCGGCCGCAGGCCTCGCCCGCGACGTGTTGCGGAAGCTCAGGCGCAGCCGGCGGCTCAAGGGGCTCGCGGGCAAGATGTAGAGAGAGCGACCCGGGTTGTGCTATCGGCAGTTATCGGCAAGAGTGTGCGCCGCCCCACGCAGCCACAAAGTTTAGAGAGAGAGAGTTCTATCTGCTTGTCGTTGAGCTTGAGAGGGTCGCCGACGGGGCGAGGCGCCATCGCCCGGGCCGTCCACCCGCGCGCCGCGGCATGACGCCCGCGGCCGCGCCCGCCCAAGACGAACAAAATTAGTAATTACCCCCGGGCTTTTGTTCCATGTTCGTTTTGTTGCCGCTTGCCGGCTGGCCGGCATGCCGGCGCGGCCACATCTTTTCGCGTATCGCACCTACACGAGGCACGGCACAGCCACAGGTGCGAGAGGCGCTGTTACTTTCGAATCATTTACGGTGCGGTCCCTCCTCTCCCCTCTCCCCCTGCAGAAACGGCACGCTCGACGAAGACTTGGCAACGATCCACCAGCCGTCTCTGCCGTAAACCGGCGCCGTCAGCTTCAGGCAGAGGAGCACGTCCGTCCAAAGAAAGGGCGGGCAACCGATGCGCAGCACAACGCGGCAGGCGCGCGGCCCGGCGAAATCGACCGACACCAGAGTGTCCGCTGCGGCCACGCGCGGGTCACCGCGCAGGTGCGCATACGGCCGGTGCGCCGGCTGCTCCCACCGGCCGGCGACGCGGACGCGGCAAAACTCGTCGGCGTCGCACACGACGATGCCGTCGGGAAGCGCATACGTCAGACAGCACGCCGGGTGGAAGATCCTCGCCATGCCCTCGCCATCGCAGCGCCGGTTCGAGCGGCAATAGCCGTCCACGGCACGCGTGACGTCGGAAAAGTCGGCCGGCGTCACGCCGTCCGCGCGCACGTCCGCGTCGTCGAGCGGGGCAGAGGAGTAGATCTTTGCGATGACACGCCAGGCGCCGCCGTCGATGGAGTCGTCGCGCAGCAGCGTGAGGAAGTCAGTGTACAGCACGGCGGTCGTGGTCGGCGTGGGCGACTCGGGCGCCGGCGGCAGCGCAATCTGCACCTTTGCACTCGCGCAGGCGCGGCCGAGGAACTCGATCGAAACGATGCGATCGTGGACGGCGTACTCGTTTGACGCGCCCCGCGCGACCACACCCGCGCAAAACGCGGCAGAGTCACGGCGCACGACGGCGCCGTCGGGACCGAGGCCGAGCAGGACGCCGCGCGGGTGGAACATGCCGCGAAAGCGCTCGGCATCGCAGCCGTGCAGCGCGGCGAAGTAGTCGGCGCAGACCGCGGAAATCTCGAGGCGCTCGCCGTCGGAGGACATTTACTGGGCGCCGCCGCGCTGCAAAAAAAAAGCGCAGGCCATCGGGTATGTTCTTATCCCTCCCTTGGGTTGTCCGTTTTCTTTATTTCTTTTATGTTCGTAAGAGCCATAGGAAATGGAAACCAAACAAGGCAAGCAAGCAAGCAGCAAGTACCACCTTCATGGGCGGTGAAGCTCCGGGTGCGTGAAGCGCGCGCACCCAGGTGCGGCAGCCGCCGCTGGTCGGTCCTCGGGCGTCGGGCGCTCGGGGCAGGGCGGGACGCAGAGTTTTTTGAAGGTTGACTCACCGCCAATGCCGCCGCCGGCGCCCCCATCGCCGCCTGCCCCGCCCATGCCGCCGCCTGCCCCTTCCCCCGCGCCGTCACCAAGGCCGTCCCCGCTGCCGATGCCGTTCCCTCCCGCCCCGCCCGCGCCGCCGCCCGTTCCGCCGACGCCTCCGGCTCCGCCCGCGCCCCCGCCGCCCCCACCGGCGCCAGACCCGCCGCCGATGCCGCCACCGGTCCCTCCGACGCCACCGGCGCCGCCGACCCCGCCGCCCGGTAGCGGTGGCGGTGGCGGTGGAGACGGCGGTGGCGGTGGAGACGGCGGTGGAGACGGCGGTGGTGGCGGCGACGGTGGCGGAGGGCGGCGGGCTCTTCGCCGCCGGCGCCTCCTGTAGCCGGTCCGATGAGCGCACACTCCTGTAGCCGGGCCCTCGGCCTCGCTCTTGGGCTACCCTGTTTTTGGTTCTCTGTGCGCATCGTGCGGGTGTGTGTGCGGATAGTGGAGGCAGCATGTCGTGATATTTGTGAGTGCTCTCCTCTCGTGGGACAAAGCTGTCGATTTGAATGGGAAAATGAAACATAAGAGACCAGTTAAGGGGAAACCCGGTACACGGAGCTAATCCCTCGGAGGAACGTGTTATTTATTTTGAGACGGCGGTGCGGCGGGCGACGGGCGGCTGGCGTCGTGGGCGAGCGTGGGGTGGGGTGGGGATGTCGGGGTGGGGAGCGGGTGGGCGCCGGAGTGGGAGTGGTGGTGTGACTGCTCCTGTGGTGCGGGCGACGGCTTCTGCAGAAGCCGTCGCCCGCGCCTCGCCTGTCGCGTGAATCGTGTCGTGCGACCGCCTTTTGTTGTAAAATTCTTTTTCATTTCGCGAATAAGAATTTCGTGCGAATAAAGAATTCCACCGCGTCACGGTCGAAGCCACAGGTACCCCCGCGATCGAAAGAAATCGAAGCATCGTCTCGGTCTCGTTCGTGCTCTTCGACAGCGTTCGTCTCTCGTTCGCGCCGCGACAGCGAACGCCGACCGGTTCAAACGCCGTCCGTGTGTTTTTCGTCTTTTTCTTTTTTCTCTCTTAGCCGGCCTTTTCCTTCTGTGGCAAGTACTCGTATTCCCGGGTCCACCCAAGAGACCTCGCTACAGCGCTTACCCAGCCGACGCTGAGATAGGGTGTGCCGACCTTTCTCGCCGAGGCTCGGTGGCTCGCCGTGCCCCACACGACGGCCTCTGCTCGCGTTTTCGAGCCGGGACCTTCGTCCGGGCCCACGGCCGGCACGCCGTCAACTTTGATCGTCGACTCCGCGCGCTCGGCCGCCACCGCGGCGCTTTCGAGAGCGCCGTTTCGAGATGCTGCAGCGGCGGGCCGCGGCACCTCGAGGCGACGCTTCTCGCGCCGCATCGAGGTGCTCCGGTCGTGCATGCGGGTCGGCTCGGCACGGTGCGTGCGGACTGCCCCATGATTCGCACTCCTGCGCCACGTATCTGACAGTCCGACGGCCCGATACGCCACCCGAAGCCTCACCGGTCCACACAAGCGCGGCTGCGCGACTCTCTCGCGGCCCACCGCCCACCCTCACGCCGTTCGACCTCCATACAGGCGGCTTGCTCGAGCCTCTCCGCGTATTACGGTCGGGCACCAGCGCGATGGCTCCACTTATTTCGGTAGTGACCGAACGGTTGGCTGGCGGAGGTAAAGCTCCCCAGTGCGGGAGCTGGCGGGCGGGGGCGTCGGGCGGGTGCATGAGCGGCACCCGGGCCACCGGGACGGGCCGTGGTGGCCCGCCTGGAGGTCGCGAGGGGCCAGAGGAGGAGGAGGCGCCGCGCGCGTGCCGGTGTAAGAAAAAATTGGCTGTGGGTCGCCTCGTCCCTGCCCCTCGCCTCCAGAGGCGTGTAGAGGAGAGCCGTAGCGGAGGAACGGCGGCGGAACTGCGGCGAACGGCTCTTGCTCGGAGCCTCCTGTAAGGTCTAAACACAAACCAACAAACACTTTTGCGCCCTTCCCTACCCGCGCCCGGCCGCCCTCCGGCTCCGCCTCTGGCGCTGCCCCTCGAGGGACGGCCTCGGGAACACCTCGTCGGACCGCGCGTAGCCCTCTAGCTTGCTCGCCTTGGCCTTGTCCAGCCGCAGGCCGCGCGTGTCCGAGTAAAAGTCCTCCGCCGCCTGCAGCCACCTCCACGTCGCCGCCACCCGCCACCAGCTGGCCTTCTTGTCGTCGACAGCCACAATCTCAAACTCGGCGCCGTGGGTAAAGGTGAGGTCGTCGACGGGGTCGAGGATGGAGACGGTGCAAAATCCGGCATGCATCTGGCAGCGCGGGCTCACGATGTACGACTTGCGGTTGACCGTGAGGTTGTGCTTTGGCGGAAAGCGAAGCGTGAAGGTCATCGGGCGCGTGCCGAGCGTGAGCACCATCACGTTGGAGCCGATCCTCTGCGAGTTGACGGCGCCCGCGCTGGGGTGGCCCTCCTCTCCGAGCTCCTCACCCTGGATGAACCGGTCAATGTCGGCGGACGAAGAGTTGTCGCGGTGCGCGTTCATGACGGCGTCCAAGACGGCGTAGTACAATAGGAGCTGCATGTGCGTCGGAGGCATGCGGCGGCTGATTGGCGTCAAGTACGGCCAGCACGCCACCCACAAAAAGAGCCCGACGACAAACCACGCCCAGCTCATCGGAGCACCTCGCCAATCGTCGGGCCGCCTCTGACACGACGTGTAGTTGAAGAGCCTCCAGATTTTTTGGCCCCACCCTTCTCCGTCGCTCCCGGTGTACGTGTGCTCGGGCTTGACGACCACCGACTCGGACCGCCGCTTTGGCTGCTTCGACCCGGGCGCGGTGTTGAAGTTGGTCAGGTTTTGCTTCATGCCCGCTTTGAATTTCGGATAGTACCCGTTGATCCAGTCGAGGTAGCTGTCGGCCTTTAGGCGACTCAGGAGCGACTCCTTGGTGTCCCTGTCCTTTGGCGTCAGCTCGGCGGGGATCTGGTCGGTCGCCGCGTTTAGGAAGCGGTGCGGGATGTCGACCTTCAGGTTGACGCTCCGCATCGGAAACGGAGCCCCGATCGATTTAGCTTCGTTGTCGTCCATGCGCCCTGTCAGGACTCTGGCCCCGACGGCCGCGCTCGCGAGTTCGGCTTCGAGGTCGTCCGCCGCACCTTGCCGCGCCTTGCCGCCCCCTGTTGCACCAGAGGGGCGCCGCCCTGCCGCCGTGCTTGGCCCTGCCGTCTCACTCGGCCCTGCCGCCCCCATCGGTTGTACCGCCTCCCTCGCGTCCTCGCCCATTGCCACCTCCTCGTTGGTGAGCTCGAGCTCCTGGACGTCCGCGAGGGTTGCAAAGTCGCCACCATCTCGCGGCCCTCGCCGGATCATCCCGGTGATCAGCCACAGCACTCGCGAGGGAATGCGCCGCCCCTGGGGAAGAAGCGGCCACTCCTCGCTCTTCTTCTTCACCTGCTTCCCGACCGCCGTCTGCGCCTCTTTGTTGCGCTCGGCCCGCACCTTCTCCGCCGCTGCTGCGCGCCGCTCCCGCGCGGCCTGCTCCTCCGCCGCCACCTCTGCGGGGCATCTCCGCACGGTCCGACACCGGTTCCGCGTCGGGGGCGGCGCGTCTGCAGCCACAACGTCGGCCACGTAGAACGCCTTTGAACGGTCAGCGCCTTCGAGCCGCACGCAAACCTTGTTCGGCGTGAACACGTTGTTGCCGGTCAGTTCATGTTGGTGATCCGTCACCCGGCCGTACGCGCCGGGCGGAAGGCGTAGCTGCACATACTGGCCGAGCGGTAGGCGCTCAAGGAGCTGCTGCACGGATTCCGGGGCGGCGGCGGAGCGAGCCTCGCCGTCTCCACCTGCCTCCTCGTCCGTCGCAGCCTCCTCAATGCCGCTGCCCGCCGAGCTGCGGAGATCTCCAGTCGCATCCTCGGCACCGCTGAGTACCGCACCTCCAGCCATCTCCTCGTCCATGTCGCTCACGCTGTTCACCGTACTCCCGCAGCTCGCCTCGCACTCCGTCTCCTGCTGGCTGGCTCCTGCCACATCTCGCGCAGACGATCGGAGGAGCCGCGGGCAGTGGGAGCCCTGCGGCGGCGCGTCGAGCTGTGGGGCCTGGGCTACAGTGGTACCACGCTGTCGGACTCTGGGCTGCGTCGGCTGCAGCACCGCCGCCTCGCGCTTTGCCTCAGCACGTTGACGCTGACTGTTACTCTGCCTGTGCGTTCTCGCCCGATCTCTGTTGTCTTCATTTGCCCGCCACCGTCGCATCTTCTGCGCGCTGCTCAACGGTTGGGGCCACACGGCCTTGAGCAGCGCATCCAGTGCCTCGTACACCTCCAGTCGGCTGGGCCGTTTCGGATGGCTCTCCGGGAGTGCGTCTAGGTAATGGTATTGCTTGGCTTTGTAGCCTGGACGCCGGCCTGGCGTAGGAGCCTCTGTTTTGGCACGGATGGTCTCGAGGCAGCTGGCCATGTGCGAACGAAACGTCGTGTCGTCGGGGAGCAGACTAGCCAACGCCGACTGCGCTCGCGCAAGGAGGCTGTGCAATTCCGCTGTGGTGACGCCGCTTTGCTCACACGCTGGCTCAGCGTTGGCTGCACCGTGTGGCGGCGGAGACGGGGGTAGCGAGTACGCCTGTGGCGGGTCCTGCGCTGCCGGGTCCTGCGCATACCGGTGCTTCCGCCCCCTCTTAATCGGCTGCGCAACTGGCAGTGGCAGGCTGGTCGCCTTTCTCGAGGAGCGGCGTCTCACCACCGCGGCCGCAAGGGACGTGCCGGCCGTGGCAATGAAGGCGAGCGTTGGCACAAGCGGCGGGGAAGGAAACGCCAGCTGAGGGACACCGAGGACAATCGTGGCGAGCAGGGAGCAGCAGATTGCCGCAATCAGGACGGCCCACATAGTAGCCCGGAGGGTGGTCGCGTGCGGGCGTCGGAGAGAGGTAAGACAGAGTCGCCGGCTGAGCGCGGAGCGCGCGGTCTGGGCCCACGTAGAAGCGTCGCTTTCCGCCCGCTGCGCCACAATAGGTGAAACGTAAGGATTCTTTCTTTTTCAGTGTATGTAGCTCTTACGAACATACCCGTAGCTCTCAGCCGGCTCCGGCGGCCGCGCGGAGGCGCGCAGCTTCTCGCCCGCGTCGGGCTCGTCCCACGGGAGGCCTGAAAAAGAAAACGTCTGAAAAAGAAAACGAAGCAAGCTGCCAGACTCGCGGTCCAAGCGCTTGCCCAAGCCTCGCACGTTCCCGTTCCTCTCCCGCTGGCCCCGACGCATTTGCCCGCCGCGAGCTCCCCCCATGTCATCGCGACGCGAACTTGGCTTCAATTGCACAGACTCCAGGAGCTATGCGGCGTGGGACGAAAACACGACGTTTGCAAAGCACCTGTACGCGCTCGCCGCCGGTCAGATCGCATCGCTCAAAAGCCTGGATGACGCATCAAAGCCAGCGGTGCTGCTGGACCTCGGCACTTGCGACGGCCGCAGCACGGCGCCGTGCTTCAGGGAGTGCGCGAGGCACATTCGCGAGCGTGACGCGGGTGCGCACCCACCTCGGCCGCAGCGACCAGTGGTCGCCATTTTCGAAGATCACCGCCACAACGAGTGGAGCCCACTCCTCACGCGCGATCTCAAGCACGAGCTCGGCGAAGGCGTGTTCCCGCTCGTGAGCAACACGAGCTTCTACGAGGAGGTAACGGCGCCCGGCTCGGTCGACCTGGCCTTCTCGAACTGCGCGATGCACTTCCTGGCGAGCAGCGAGCCTCCCGGAACCTTCCAGAAGGCGCTGCGACACGTGACCGCGGACGCGAGCCTAGCAGAGGACGCCGCCGCCATCGCGGCCTTTCGTGCGACCGCTGCTGCGGACTGGCAGAGGCTGCTGCTTTGCCGCGCAGCAGAGCTCAAGCCCGGCGGCCGACTGGTCGTCTCCAGTTTCGCAGTCGACGAGCGCACGGGCTTTCACTGGGGGCACGGCGGCACCGGGGCCTCGATATACCATGTGCTGGCCGAGTGCGTGCAGGGTCTCGTGCGCGACGGCTTGCTCACCTCCGCGGAGCAGCGGCGAGCCACCTCGCCCGCCTACTACCGATCCCTCGCGGAGTTCACTGCTCCGCTAGACGACCCGAACTCGGCGGTGTCCAGGGCGGGCCTGGTGCTGGCCTCGGCGGAGGTGCGGCACTTTGCGTGCCCGCTCCGCGCCGAGCTTGTCGCCCAGCGCGCGGCGGCGGCTCCGGTGGACGCGGCTGCGTACGCTCAGACCTTTGTCGAAATGCTGCGCTGCGTGACAAGTTGGGAGGTGGTCCGCGCCTTTGGCAGCGGCAGCGGCGATGAGGCGCGCCCGGCCGACGAGCGGCAGCGCCTGGTCGACCGCGTGTACGCGGACTTTGCCGCGCGCGTGGAGGCGCGTCCCGACGACTTCTCCTTCGACTTCGTGTTGTGCCACATGGTCATTGAGAAGTCCTGATTGCTCTTGCGAGCCGCGGGCCGAGGTAGCGCGCTCGGCACGCGGCACGCAAAGCGCACGAGGCGGACCGGGCGACACGGCAGGAGACACGCAGAAGCACGCGTGCGCACCGATGACCCAGGGCGTACAACAACCCAACCCGCACCCCCCAGGCCCGCCCTAACACAATCCCTGTCTCCTTGGCCCGTTCAACACCTGTCACCGCGAGACCCCTCGAACACTGAGCGACCCGACGCGTGCGGCGGGATACCCGGCCGGGGTAAGGACTAAGGTACTCGACCCAGGGCGACCCTGCTCTCGAGCGACGTGGGTCACGCGTGCGCCATCTCTGGACGGGATTCTTTCCAAGACGGTAACGTAGACGGAAAGGCAAGAGCGAAGAGGGCACAGGCAATCTGACGTCTAAGGTAAGGTAAGGGTAAGGTACACGTCTCCACACACACAAAGTGGTCTGGGGCAAGGGGGGGCGACCCTCGATCTGACGTCTGCACGCACTTGATTGCGGCCATGATGAGGCTTCAGGAGCATCACTAGATGCGCCGTTATGGGTCAACCTCGTCAGCCGCACCCGAATCACCGTTAACCGGGGCGCGCAGACGTCCTTACTCGACGAAGACGTAACTGTCCCGAAGCGGGCTAGACGGTTTCCCTGCTCTGCGCGCCGCTCATATAACGACTTCCGCCCATGACCGTAGCGCCGCTCAAAATACCGCTGCCGCCCGACAGCGACACGGACGCGACGGAGGAGTGCACTCCAGAGGAAGTCTCTGCCGCCCCCGCGCCGTGGGCCACCGCCGCCGCTGCTGCCGCCCCGTGCTACTGGCCTGCGGCGGGCGACGAGTGTGGACCAGACCACCCTGCGCGGGCAATCAAGAAGATGGTGTGGACGCCGGAGGAGGATGCCAAGCTGCTGAGGATGGTGGCCCAGTACGGGCCCTCCTCCTGGTCCCAGATCGCGCAGCACCTGCCAGGCCGGGTGGGCAAGCAGTGCCGCGAGCGCTGGCACAACCACCTCTCGCCAGAGGTGAAGAAGGAGAACTTTACCGAGGAGGAGGCGCGCGCGCCCAAGGCCCCCTGGGGACCCCCCCCCCCCAAAGGTTGCTGCGGCCGGTCTTCAGTGGGCCTCCGCCGGAGGGGCTCTTCGGACTTCCTCTTGGGAAGTG